ACATTACTCAAATATTAACCGAACTTTTAAATATAAACAGTACAAGGGAAATGAAGATTTGCGTAAAAGTTTTCTCAAATGTGACTTTTATTTACTTTCTTTGCATTATTGTGACGTTACAAACTCTTCTTCGCGTACGTACTCGTATCACGCACAACATTACTGTCATGGACATTATTATACAAACATTTTATACCTAAAGAAAATTTAGGACTGCATAAACGCAAAGGCAAGTCAATAAAAGACAATGAATATGAAATTTTTGATGTCGTCTAAACATCGATCACTTTTTTATTAGTGATCGATGCGTCTAAAACATAAAAATTTTACTTTGAACGGTGTAAAAGGTGTAATGGCGGTGTAAGAATATCCACTACTCCATATCTACGGTACATATCTAAAATAAATAACTACGTTTTCCAACCCGCTTGCCAACTATAACAAATAATCCCCCCCCCCTCCCCCCTCCCTATGAGGCAATTACATGAATGTAAAATTATTTTATTCCTTTTAGTTATTTGAATTTGGTTTTAACTTTTTATTACAATGTAATTTTTTACCCTTTCTAGTGAAATATCTCAATGTCGTCTAAATAGTTCTATTAATTATTTCATCCCCTATTTTGCCACCCTTAGCAGTGGAATTTTATGTGGAACGGCCCCTGAAGTATAATCCATTTAATACAACATCAAAATCGGTTCATAATTTACGGAGATATAGCGTAACATACAGAAAAGTATATTTTTTGTATGTTAATTAAGAAAGTAAGTAAAAGTCGTATGGTTTTGTGTCTTTTTCCAAGAGTGCTAAAAATATGGAAAAACGTAATTGGAAAAACTTTATCAAATATTCAAACTTATGTGTAAGAAATTTGAGAAACAGCGTGACCAATCCATTTATTCATCCAATACAGCCTGCTGAACATAGACAAGAGAGGCTAGAGGCAATATAAGGGGAAGGAATATAGATTCAGCAGTGCTGAACATAGACCTTCCCCTTACATTGACTCTAGGGGGGATTTTGCTATAGTTGCCAAGCTTGACAGGCAGTAAAGGTTGGCATCCTCAGTTTTTGATAATTTTAAATTGTTGTCAGAAAGAAGCTGCTGCCCAACTCCCGTTTCAGTTTTCTCCGTCGCCTCTTATGACATAAGTGCGACTATGCACAACAACTTAACGTAATCCGTTATCGCTTATTATAAATACCTGATTGAGATATTTTTATAAAATAAAAAATAAAATGTATAAGTTGAGTTCTACTGAACAAACTATTTCATATTTCAAAGTGTTTATTAAAAAAAAGTTTGTCTCAAAGTGTGAAATTAGGCACTGATTTGGAGCCGGTTTATTTTTATATTTTAAAACATAGTTTTCAGCTCCATTAGAAATTTCCATCAAAATGTAGAATTTAGAGCTGCAACTAATGTTATGGATTCCATTAGGCAAAGAACAACATTTTGTTCATTTGAAAATACCTCTTTTACCTATACGTAAGGTTTTATTTTAGTACAATGTTATCCATTTACTTCTAGCTGATTTTTCGATGTCGATGCACGCAATGTTGTCATAACAATAATTAATGTATTAAAGGCATTAGGGGACATTTTTGATGACTACACCGGGAACTACGAAGTAACATAATGTTTTAACTTGATATTTTACTCAAATATATAGCAAAATACGTGTCCACATTCCATGGCTGCAATAAAAATTAAAATAAGTACCTACAATTAATTTGGAGAGTACGTTGAGGTCACAATACCTATTTCTGTCGTCAAGCGTATAATGTCTATTGTCGCAGCAGCAGTGCATATGCACAATGCTGCTAGACGTATACTCTTGCTGTGTTCTCGTGTGAAGGATTTGAAAGGAGTCCGTATATAATTACAGACTGTGATTCCGTCTTAATCCTCAGAATCACTTGCAAACACGTGGACTTTTAAGTTCGTTAGTCACTTTAATTTTGAAAAAAGAGCACAGGGCCAAATAATTTTGTTCTTAAGTAAAGACTTTAAACTTTATAATATGAAATAGACCACACACTGGTCAACGTGTTAAAAGCAATGGTACCTTTTAATTATCCTCATGTATCTCGAAATAGCAAAATGTTTACAAAATAACTAACATCAAAATCTAACTCTCTCATAATACGAACGACAAACTGTGCAGCGTGACTGTGTCACAAACCTGTGTCCACTAGCACAAAACAAATGACGAGAAAATTGTCCCGATAGTCAATACATTTTAGACAATATCCGGACGGCGATTAGGTAATACAAATGTGTTCCTCTATTTTCTACCGGTACAAAAAAAATACAATGCAAGTCACGATTAAAAATACCACGTTAATATAATAGCAGTATCCTAATGGCAGGACGCGGACCGCCAACTCTAAAGGTCGCGGGTTCGAATCCGCCATTCGACTCTGTCGTGAACCACTCCTAACACCAGCATTTAAACTTACCAGGGGTATTAGTAATATATATAGCATTGCTAGTATTTAAAAAAAAAGAAGAACAAAATATTTTTTTTATTTTTCTATCAATTTTTTTATAAGTTTGAACCTTTGCAACTTACTTATTCCAAAACTGTCCAGTTATACCGCCATTATCAGATATTTAGCGATAATAAAAATAAAAGAAAACATTCACACATAGCCACAATCCTTAGTATATTTATCTTGCAAAAAAAAATTAAACAACGGCACAATTTTAGAAAGAAAAGGGGATAGGAAATAATGATTACGTCAGTCGTCTCTCGGTTAACAAGTTCGGTTGTTCGGGTACAGGCAAAAGATATGCAAAATTCTAATCAGCATCCTTACGAGGACTATTTATTTTCTTTATTTTTTTACTCTCCATGGTTTATTATTGTATTGAGGCGTTTCGTCATCATCACTACAGCCATTCACAAGTCCATTTCCGAACATAGGCCTCCCCAAAGGAATGCCACAAAGGACGATCCCGAGCCACCTGCATCCATCCTGACCTCCTGCATGTCTTACCAGATCGTCACTCCATCTACTTGGGGGCTGCCCTACGCTTCACCTACCTACCTACCGGTACAAGGCTGCCACTCAAGAATCTTTCACGCCTATCGGTTCTTCGAGCTACATGGCCGGCCCATTGTCACTTCAGTTTACTGATCCGTTCGGCTATGTCGATTACTCTGATGCTACTACTGATATACCCATTACTAAGTCCAACATACTGCGAAACTCTAAGCACAACACCCTCCATAGCTTGCTGGGGTACCTTGAGCTTCCTAATACGACCAGCAGTGAAGGAGGACTATATATTTTTAAATAGCTTAATAATAAAACTACAACTTAGCACATCAAATAGTTTTATTTTTCTTATATACGTTGCATACAACTGTAAAATACAATTAAAATACAATATATTTAATTAGTTTCCCACTAAAATAGGAAAACAAGTAGTCTTTTCAGTTGTCTTTAACATTATCTATGAACAATAATTTAAGACTTAACAACAAAATTGCAGTTTTGACAAAAAAAAGCAATAAATTAATAAAAATAAAAATAGTTTCTTTACCAGATTATATATATCCCAGTACTGCGAACAGGCTTCACTCTCTTTTTCGAGATGAACATGAATTAATCCGTCGCGTTGTTTCAGTGTGAATACACAAGATAATTCAAACATAAGCAGAGTTTCTCTCCATGTTTTATTCATCACTTCGGCACGTAGTTAATCAATACTTAAAATTACAATTAGCAATTACAGTGTTGCCGGCGAAAATAAACTCAGTTGTTCCAGTGCAAAAAGGTTAATAAAATATATATGATAGTGTATTAATCAGTTTTCTGTTTACGTTTTACTATGCAACACCGAGCGTTTAGTCCCTATTGACATAGTAAACCCAAAAGAGCTACCACGCTCCTTATCAAAATTGTTGAAGTACATTTTATAGTATAACAAAAGTATTGCTATAATTTACTAAAAATTGAGCTTAATCCTACTTCTAAACATCAAATACAACACTTTACTTTTTCTGCAATTAAATTCATACTTAGTGCGTTTTTGAACAATCTGTTCATTATAAAAATACTCTGTAGTCATAGCTGTCTACACTGTAAGAATATACTAATTAAAACATATAGGTATTAAATTATAAAATATATGAAAGGTCGGTAAAACGTGATCATGAAACAAACATGCTTAAATACAGTTTTTATTTTTTAATATTGTGTGTAACCTTTTAGTTAGATTTAACTTATGGTGAACATTTTAAAGTATTTTAAAGATAGCTTGACAATGAAACCAAAATATAATAATTAACTAAACATAATATTATCTATATATCAAGTCACTTACAATAGATTCGACCGTTTTAAATGTGAACACAACATGTTGACAGCAAATTAATAAAAACAAGTGAAATTTAAAAAAAAATTGCCACTTATTTACGATATTCTTTCCCTTATCCGAATCCGAACTATATTCAAAATTTCAAGTTTCCAGCTCATCGGGAAGCTAGTTTAAAATCAATCACTAAATTCCATAATAAATTACTTAATAAAAATGTGATAATATTAGAAAATACCATTTTTAGGGTTCTGTACCCAAAGGGTCGGTATCCAAAATCCTATTACTAAGCCTCCGCTGTCCGTCCGTCCGTCTGTCTGTCATCCGGCTGTATCTCATGATCAGTAATAGGTAGACAGTCGAAATTTTCATAGAATCTGTTTGTTGCCGCTTTAAGAACAAATAGTAAAAAATAAAATAAATTAAAAATACAAAGGGGCTCCCCTACCAGACACATGTATTACGATAGTGTGGAACCCTTCATGCGCAAGTCCAACTCGCAATTGAACCGTTATTATTATGTAATGATCTCGTTAATCTTTAAAATATTGATAAAAATAGGAACAAAATAATATTAACAAGCTTAGAAAAATAATAAAAGTGTAGACAAGTAAACATCTAATATTGTAGTTTTGATTTTTATTTTGGTCTTTGCTGATGGAAGTTTTTCTCATTAAGATTCATTCGCCGAAGAGTACACGATGGTGGGTAGCGGGGTTCTCGCCTGCGGGTATGCGGGTGGCGGTGCGTCATCTCCTTGCGCCTGCATATTGTATAATAAAAAATAAAAAGTTAGGGCCCATATATCGTAATGTTATAAAATAATATCTTTTTGTATTTAAATTCTGTTTTATCTTTATTCGCTTTTATAAAATAGTTTCTAAAATATTGAATGAAACCTTTTTAGTTCAAAAAAGAGTTTCAATTCGAGTGTATGTTTTTATTGTCTTTATTTTAAATTTTTGAATCTTTTTCAAAGAGTATAATAAGTACATACAGGAAAAGAGAGCCCTCTGACGATATTTTATTGCAGACAAAATTGAGCTACTAGCGTCTACTACAAATTGAATCCGACCTAATTAGCAATATACAGCTATATTGTATACATCATATTTAAACTATTATGTTCTTTAGTTCGTATACTCACTGAAACAGTTACTACTTTTTTGTAATACTAATTTATACTCTTAATATTAAAAGTAGGTAAATAGTTTCAACTAAGTTTGATTGACATTACCATACGTTACGGAATGGTAATGTCAACCAAAGATATCCTTGACTGTGCCCGATCCATCAGCACAATATCAGGCTTATTCGCAAGAATGGTCCTGTCTGTGATGATGGCCCGGCCCAGTATAGCCTGGCGCGGTCATTTTCGAGTTCAGTTCGGTCTGAGTCCACCAGAGTATGCCAAATGTATACATGAGAACAGGCATGATCCAACCGTTATATGCATGTGTCTTATTAATGCCCGACAAAAAACTGTTTAGCACTTTTGTCAAGCGTGCATCGATACCTATGTTCTGTGACATACCCAGTTATCGGTATGTTTCAGCCTCGGATAGGGTCCACGCTCTTACAGAATACCAGCGTAAAATAGCAGTTTAACACTACTATGTTTCGTATGGTGAGTGTAGAGAACCGGCGACCCTTTTTACTGGAAAAGAGGCATTCCATCTTAGTCCTCACGAGTGACAACGCATCTGCATTTTGTTTTTTGATTAAGGATAAATGTGGATGTCTATGGGTCACAGCAACCACTTACCATCAGATGGACTGTGTGCTCGTTTGTCACCCTATCCTATAAAAAAAAGATAAATGCATTATCTTTTTGGCAGAAGCCTTATTATATTATGTTATGTATATCATTTTAAAGAAAATTGAATGTAGATTTTGGGATTTCTTGTTTTTTTTTCAGAAGTCACATTTGGAAACAAACTGAAAATAGAGCCTCTGGATAATTATTTTGGCCAGTTTGTGGGATAAATCATTCACGCACAACGGGATACAGTTATTATTGAATCCTGAGAAGAAAATGACCTTAAAGCTTCCTGCTACTTCTCTGAGAAGATTCTAAATATTATTTACTGGTGATTTTGTATACGCACTTTGTTCTCGGAGACCGCTGACAGACGTCTTCTAGACATAGTACTCGCAGATCTACGCCTCCTTCCCTGGCTGCTGTCGATACTCGCGCCACTCTGGCGACGTTTCCTCGCTGTGGACTCCTCATTGCTCGCTGACTTTTTCGCTTCCAACTTCGCAAGTCTCTGCTTCGTTTGCCTCGCTGCGTTCTCTCTTATAATCTGATCGGCCCTGAGACGAAGTATTTGAGCTGCTTCTTTGTGATGTTTCAAGGCAGCGTCTAGATCATTCCGGGACAGGGCGAATAAGTTGGAATAGCCTCGTGATCTGTTTGAAAGGCAAATACATATGATACAATATTGTATAAAATTAATCTGTAAAATACTGGCGCCCAATGTGATTTTGTATCACATCCTATCAAAAGTTCACTGCTGAACATAGGCTTTCCCATATTTGGCTTGTAGGCAGATATCCGCCACAGTTGCTACGCTTAGCAAGCGGGTTGGCAGCCGCAGTTTTTTTTCGTTCGTTGTTATCAGAATATGCTGCTACCCATCTTCTACTCATTTTCCTACGTCATCACTTACGACACCTATCGGGTGATGTGGATTAGTGGATTCTCTTACAGTGTCAGGACTAAATAGCTACATTGTACGGTCATGAAAACAGTGTTAATATGTCAACTGTCTTAACTGCTAATTTTTATTACTATAACGGAATTATCAATATGATTTTCACCCCCTTCAAAATGTCGGATTGATTTTTACTTTGAGTTTTACTTCGCACACTTATCAAGGGCCGATTACAATGCAATAATTTCACGCTTATTTTTATGTTAATCACAATTTTTTTTAAACTTATTGAAAATTATTATCTACTTTATAGTTATGTTATCTACAAAAGCGTGATTTTTGAGTTTTTTTAAACTATTATTTATTTTCTATTTTTTTTAAAGAGGTGTTTCTTTATTGAAAAAAAATTAACTCTTTCACGACTTACATATAAAACTACAATATTATAGATAAAAAACGAGACTAATACTGAAGACGTTATTTGGCTTACCTAACGGTGGCTGTGCGTCTTCGCAAGCCATCGATGCCAAGTAAGCTGATCTCGCCGAACACAGAACCTTCTCGAAGCGTAGCCAGCACTTCCTTTTCATCCTGTGACATTACCTGGATAATTCGTCAAATATTATGTACATCAAATTTTTCACTTCATTAAGCATTTTAATTAATTTATGCATATAAATTGTGAGTATAAAAATATGATAATAATTATAGTATTATCGTTGATGATTCCTATTATCACTGATTTCGAAGTACACGTCTTGCACTTGCAACTAGGCAACGGCTCCATAGTCTTTTTTGTTGGTGCATAAAACAAAGTATTTGATTACACTATTTATAAGGTAGGTACTTAAAGTCTACAAATATTGTAGATTAAACACTAAAACGTCCACCCCAAAGCCACGCTGTTCAATGTCGCACATTTCTACAAAACAGTGTGTCCATTACATAAACTTTGAATTATAAAGTTGCAAGCAGTACCAGTCTTTTCGAGTCCAAAGTAACGCTTTTGCTTCTAGATCCTAAACATGAATCGTTCTTTATCTATCCATCCGTCCATTACAGCCTATAAAAGTCTACTGCTAAACATAAGGACTCCCACATAGATTGCCTCATAGAAGTTACTAATATACCTACTTACACTTAATATGGACTAATTATGTCTGAAATAAAGTTATATTATTTTTATTTAATTATTTATTACAAAGTATAGTTATTTAATAACATCCGACAGTACAAATAAATTTACAAAAGTTTTTCCATGTACCGCCAATTCGTAACTTCGATCATGTTCAATCGGTTCGCGTTGCGACAACTTATTTAATGACGTATATAAATGGTGTGACAAAATAGCAAGATGTTTTTTTTTTATCTAGGTGTGTACCAAAGCAAAATATGGTTAGTATTAAATGAAAATTAGTAAATTAGTAAATTTTTTTATTTATGTATATTATATTATGATGTGCGTTTTAGTTTTATATTTTACTTTAAGTTATTATTAGGTATCGTTAACAGTTTGTCGATAAAATACTGTTTAAGCATATATTTAATATTTTTTTCAGTAAGTTCATTTTTATTGGTTTGGGAATTTGGTTCAAAAGAGCGGGAATTTGATATTATAATCTAAATTTTCCGTACATATTTTTATATTTTGGGATAATCATATTTTATATACAATGTGTTAATTTTACACTTGATCAAACGAAATGTGCGGATACTAGATAAAAAATTATCGGTAAAAAATCGAAAAAAATTTTTTTTATGTAAACTGTTTAAAAAATAAAAGCATTTGAATTTTTTTTTTGTTAAAATTCCCATCCTTCGGTTTTAAATTATTTTCTCTTTAAGTAAACGGTGTATTTTTTTCAAAGTAGTTTTATTTGGAAGTTAGAAAAATTAACTAGCAACAAAAATTAAAAAAACCTACGATATCAAGCAGGAAATTTGTCAAAAAAATAATAATATAATTTTTTTTGTTAAAAAAATACTTTTCTTTTTAATTTTTGGTCTGTAACTTCAAAACTAGTACATTGAGATAACCTTTTTAGCATGTTTTATTAAACTACGTAGCTTATTGTACAAGTTCTCCAAAATAACATGCGTTCTATCTCTTTTCATTTTTAAAATAATAATCATCAAAGAATGCCATCGGTATGTTGATTTGCGCTTATGCGCCCCACCTACCTCTAATTTGAACACCCCTGGTCGAACAATAGCAGGTAAAGATAAAAAGAGATAGATCAATGAAAGGCGAAACAAGTGAGTGAGAGAGTGAATTGTCGTTTGAATGAAATTTGGGTCTCGTTCTCGTAAGGCATGCAGGCAGCTTTAGCTATTTTAAACAGTTCATCTTGTAACGTTACCTAATTTGCACGTTGAATACGCTCACCATTTTGTTCGTCGTTATGCCTTCTACGATAGACTCATTGTCTGCTCGTGAAGTAGCTGACATTCATTACATTTACGGGTTTTGTGATGGCAACGCTCGCGCCGCCTCTCGAGAGTATCATCAGCGATTCCCGACAAGACCTGCCGTTGACTACAGGGTTTTCTTAGCAGTACATCGAGAATTAAGTGAAAATGGACTGCATCGCCCACATCGTGAACGTGCTTCTACTGTACCGGTGGATGTGGATGAACAAGTGTTGCGTTTGGTGTACCAAGACCCCACAATTAGTACTCGACGAATAGCACTCCAATTGGGGATTAATCACGTCCAAGTGTGGAAAATTTTGAAAAAGGAATGTTTGTACCCTTTTCATTTTCGAAGAGTGCAGAATTTGCACGAGCCAGATTACGTCGGAAGAAGTGTTTTCTGTTCGTGGCTATTGCGGCAAAGACGATTAGTCCCGAAATTCTGTGACCGTATTTTGTGGACCGATGAGGCAAATTTTAACAGAACTGGAATCACAAATTTTCGAAACCTTCACTTGTGGATGCCGGAGGAAAAAAATCCCTTAGCAGTTCGGCCAGCGTCCTTTCAAATCGAATTTTCGATTAATGTTTGGGCTGGAATGATAAGTGATTACTTAATCGGACCATTTATTCTTCCGTCACGGTTGACAGGCCCAGCTTACCTAACATTTCTACAAGAAGAGTTACCTGACCTGATGAGTGATGTGGATCTACAAACAAAGAGGAAGATGTGGTTTCAGCATGACGGCGCTCCAGCTCACTTCAGCACCATCGTGCGTGATTATTTAAACGAACTATACGGAGACAGACGGATTGGACGAGGCGGACCAGTAGCGTGGCCGGCACGAAGCCCTGATATGACCCCCCTAGATTTTTTTTGTGGGGCCACATGAAACAGATTGTGTACAGTACTCCAATTAGTACAAGAGAAGAATTGTTACAAAAAGTAATGGCTGCGGCTAGTCAAATAAAAGAAAATCGTACTGTATTAAAAAAAACAGTACGCAGTGTGGCATTACGTACAACTGTATGTATGGATGAAAATGGTGGTCATTTTGAAAATTTAATAAATTAAATCATTTTTCTACGGTTTCTTTTGTTTTATTCCATAATTTTGACAATTAAATCATTATTAAATCACTTTTGAATTTTGTGCTCAGATTACCTACCTTATTTTTAGTGATTATCTTAACAACGAAAAAAGATAGAACGCATGTTATTTTAGAGAACTTATACAGTAAGCTACGTAGTTTAATAAAACATGCTAAAAAGGTTATCTCAACGTACTAGTTTTGAAGTTACAGACCAAAAATTAAAAAGAAAAGTATTTTTTTAACAAAAAAAATTATCTTATTATTTTTTTGACAAATTTCCTGCTTGATATCGTAGGTTTTTTTAATTTTTATTGCTAGTTAATCTTTCTAACTTTCAAATAAAACTACTTTGAAAAAAATACACCGTTTACTTAAAGAGAAAATAATTTAAAACCGAAGGATGGGAATTTTAACAAAAACAAAATTCAAATGCTTTTATTTTTTAAACAGTTTACATAAAAAAAATTTTTTTCGATTTTTTACCGATAATTTTTTATCTAGTATCCGCACATTTCGTTTGATCAAGTGTAAAATTAACACATTGTATATTATAAAATGTGCTTGTATTGCTATTGCTAAGTTCATATAACCGCGCGAAGTCGCGCGTCACCTCACGGTTGGAGCATTCACATGACGGCATATGTACACACATACATACATACTACTAGACACATAGATAATACACTATATAGGTCTGGCATCAACATTGCTTGAGAATGAACGTGTAGAAGGCAATTTGCTTATGGATTTTATATCGATGGCTGAAATGTCGCAGAAGAAGACAAAGACGATACTGGGTGCATTCTATGTTAAGTGAAAGACTGCGAGTACATGAAGAATGTTTTTAACTATTTCAGGATGTCGGTTGAATCCTTTGATTTTTATTGATTTTAGATACGAAGTAGTCTTCGCTACTCATTTTTCCTGCATTTATGCGTCTGTCCGTCTCAATTCGGACGGATCAACTGAACAGGTCGTTATACATAGGTTCATAGAACTTGAACCACGCGGTACCCCGCGGTGACTCGCGGTTCAAAATCTTGCGCGCGGGTAGCAGCACGGTACCGCGCGGTGCTGTAGGCGATAATCGCCATTTACCTTGATCTTGTAACGCGTGGTCGGTAGTTCCGCCGCGCGGGTCATATGAACTTAGCCTTATTGAGTGTATTGTTTGCAGCGGAACTAAAGAAATTGCTGCAAAATAAAATGTTGTGCAGTATAGCGACGTATGAATCCATTTTTTTTTTCATATCATTCCGTGGGTGTCATAAAAGGAGGGCGTGGAAACAGTAGAAGGGGAGTGGTATCTATCTTTTTTTTATAGGATAGGGTGACAAACGAGCACACAGTCCACCTGATGGTAAGTGGTTGCTGTGGCCCATAGACATCTACATCTATCATCGTTTGCGAATCAAAATGCAGATGCGTTGTCACCCGTGAGTAGGGTTACCAGATGAAAAAATTAAAAGTCCGGAGAAGAGTCCTGATTTCCATTTAAAAATCCTGAGATTTTTTTACAGTTTGAGAAGAAAACCTTACTTAAAGAGGTATCTTCACATATTAAGTATGATAAAACTGTTTAAGTACCTACTTGGATAAATAAGTTTTGATTTTAATTGTGGAATTATTACCAAAGTAAAATTATTTTTAGTTTGTTTAACTTTTTATTAAAAAGATCTTTAAAATGTAAACTGTATTATATTGAAATTTCTAAAAATCCTGAGATTTCATGAGATTTGCAAAATCCAGCCGCAATCCTGAGTTGAGTATAAAAATCCTGAAATCTCAGGACAAATCCTGAGATATGGTAACCCTACCCGTGAGGACTAAGATGGAATGCCTCTTTTCCAGTAAAACGGGTCTCCGGTTCTCTACACTCACCATAAGAAACACAGCAGCGTTAAGCTGCTATTTTACGCTGGTATTCTGTGAGAGCGTGGTCCTTCCCCGGTCGAGCCGACCCATTCGTGCTACAACTATACTACTAATATAGTTAATATAATTCGTGCTACAACTATACTAATAATATATTATAATGTTTTTACTTATTTATTAATTTATGGAGTGGTGTTGCACCTACCACAGCTTCTCAAATCATCCAGGGTTGACTGGTAGAGAATGCCACAAGGCATTAAATCCGCCCTATATATCCCTTATTATAAGGTAGATGTAAAAAATAATAAATAAATAAAAAATAGCTGCAGCATGGCTCTACCACGTGTATCTATCTCAAAATAACTTAACATTAATAAAAATTGCGGTTGCTAACTTGCAGTCAAGCGTGGCAACTATGGCTAATGAGGAAATCTATTTCCTATGGGGTAATCTGTGCGGTAGACCGATATACAACTGTTATAACAATAATAACGTCCTTCAGACTTAATAATTGCCGACTGTCTCAACAGAGACTAGCCATTTATGATTTAAAGCCTAAAGAATCGCTGCGACAAAAATTTAAGGAAATTAATATATTAACTTTGGCCTCTCAATACATTTATGAAAATGTAATGTACGTACACAAAAATAAAAGTAGTTTTACAAAAATAAGTGATATTCATTCTGTAAATACTAGGAACAGACACAAGCTAGTAGTACCAATTACTCGACTCCATCGAGTCAGTAATTTATTCTTGGGGCGATGTATACGCTTTTACAACAAAATTTCAGAAAATATACAAAGTTTGACCTGCCCAAACCTCAAAAACTTTATTAAACTAAGTTTGTATAAAAAGGGTTATTATAATATTAAGGAATTTATGGATGATAATAATCCCTGGAAATGAGGTGATCGCTACCAAGCTATTTCTAATTTGTTGTGTTGTTAATTTGTGTAACATCATGATTGTAAGCTGTTATTTTTTTTAAAAAGTCCCGCTGGGTTTCTTGCTGGTTCTTCCCAGGACAGAGGTTTTTTTCCGAACCAATGGTAATCAAACAAAAGAGTGACTTTCAATAAGTATTATTTATAATCTATATTGAATAAAAAAGTTTCTGTTTCTGATTAGGACAGGATTTTACTGTACGAGAATATGCGTACAGGCTCATTCTATTCCCTCACTCTCATAAGGCTCGGTCACATACACGGTCGGAATACTCGCTGCGATTATATGTGTGACAAGCTATTCGCCGCGATTAGATTCATTCGCCGCTAGTTGAATTCGCTGCGAATTGAATTAAACATGTTCAATTTTACTCTCTGCAAATGAACACTCGCTGCGAGAATTCGCTGTGTGTGACAGGGTACTTGCTGCGAATAGCCATTCCGCTCCAGACTACACGCCTGTCCGATGGGACGGCATCCGACACGACCGGATAAGATCAGGCGCAGAACAACGGTTGTAATGAACGAATGATTGAAGAGAATTTGACAACTCCGTGACGCATTGGCTTAGCAATGTGTTGCAGCGCTGAGGGCTGAGCTGAGTTGAGCGCGGGTTCGAATCCTGCACGGAACAAGTATTTTTATAGCATACAAATAATTGTTCCTGATCTGGATGTTTGTTCCTGTGAAATTTATCTATGTAAACTATACCCACGATACAGGATACATTTCTAGAGTGAAGTTAAAGTTTTATAAAAAAATAATGCTCACGTAGCACTCGCCGCTCTTGACAATGTACATGTGGTGTCCGACGTCACCGCGGCGCACGACCAGGTCGCCGGGCAGGCACGATAGCGGCCGCAGCTGCAGCACCAGGTCGCGCAGCAGCGACGCCGAGCAGTCGCGGAACAGCTGCACCTGCCCACACCACTAGCTCTCTACACCTATACACTGCACCTGTGGCGGCGCTGTTGTCGCGGCACAAGCAAAACGCACGGAAACCTATATCGCGGTATCAAAGTTCCGAAGTACTGTGATATATATATAGTATAGAATTGTGGCGCGACGACAGCGCTGCCACATCACCCCACCTATTCAGACCGGAGGTAAGTGCAGTCCGGTTGCCGATGCCAAAGAGTATAGTAATATATAAGGAAGGCCGATGCGTCCTTAATGCCGGTGAGTAATGCATGCTGTGGTGATTAAGAGTAAATGACGCCTGTGCGAATGATATACAGGTGTGTAACGCATGCCGTATTACGCACTTGAAAGTAATGCCAGTGGTACAGGCCTTTCGAGACAACTTGAACACGCTTGGTGATCACAACACCAGACGTGCTAAAGAGCATGCCAGCCCATGCCTAGCGTATTTAAGAAAATGTAAGTTTTACGTTTAGAGCGAGACGCCCTTAAATTATTATAGTTTTCCATAAAACATATTTGTGGAATGTTTAATAAACAAAATGCCACAAAGCAACATGTAATCAATGCACGCTGGCAAGACTGCTACATACAATCGACGGGGCCAACTTGCTTTTGTTTGACTAAACGAGACATTTTCAACTTTTTGGAGACGGTGGAAGACATTACTTAAAAGTGGGAGTGTCCCGCTCAAAGTGGAACGTATGATCACATGAGCTATATTTCAAGAATTTACTTAATCATCTTTATACGACATCCACAAGGCAAAATTATAATAGGTCAGGGAAAAGTTTCTTCATATTTTGTTTGTATAAAATTGAAGAAAAGTCTCTTGTCAGTCATGTTTTTATAATTGTGTCACTGAGAGCTACAATAAACCATCCAAGAATGTCTCATAATAAACTTTGGCCAAAGTCTACTCATCTTTTTATAAAAATGAAGTTTTCTGATTCCTTGGTAAGACACCTAACACAGCCATGATTGATGAGGAATGATGACTACGTTGAACTTTTTAACAAGCAAGTTCTTTAGAACTGTGAATTCGCTTGTTGCAATGCTTTTCAATAGTATTTTTTTTTCATCCATATATAGCACATTTCCTTCCACCATCGGGCAAGCGTCATAATCGATCCGCTCGCGTAATCTGCATGGACTGATTTATGACGTGTCCTGTGTATCGAGTCGACACTAAGAACCTACTTGGCTTCAATGTGTACATACATATATAAATAAGTCAGGGAATAAGTTTCTTCGTATTTTGTTTGAATGAAACTGAAGAAAAATCTCTTTGGTTGTGGCTTTGTGTATCTGGTTGATTTTAATATCAATACATATAAGACATTAAGAAAAGGAAAAAGTAAAAAACACTTTCCCGCCATTTTTCAATTCTTTTTCTATCCGCCAAAATGACTGAACCTAACGAAGAAATTCGATACATTCTGAAGTTTTATTACAAGAAAGAAAAAACTGCGACTCAAGCCGCGAAAAATAATTGTGACGTTTATGGACTTAATGCAGTGTCAGTAAGAATAGCTTAAAGTTGGTTCCAGCATTTTCAGTCCAGGAATTTTGATGTCAAAGATGCAGATCGCTCAGGTCGCCCCTCATACGAAAAAAGTCGATGTCATTTTTGAAAAAGTGGAGAAAGATCGGTATATTAGTAGTCACGATATAGCCTAAGAATTGAGCATTGGCCACAAAACCGTTTTGTACCATTTGAAAAAGTCTGGCTATACAAAAAAGGTCGATATATGGGTACCACACGAGCTCACTGAAAGGAACCTAATGAATCGTGTACTCATTTACGAACGAAACCGAAGTATTTTTGAAAAGATTGATCACTGGTAATGAAAAGTAAATCACCTACGACAAGAACGTGGGAAAAAGATCATCGTCAAAGGGTAGTCAAGCTCCACACTGTAGCGAAACCTTCTTGAAGAAGATTAAATCTTTAGGATTCAACTTTCTTCATCTTTTATTAAATATTATATTTATTTTTGATAGTCTTAGTTTTATTCATCTTTAAGTAATATTTTTAATGAGTTAAAAATGTTAATACAATAGGTACTGTATATTTTAAGCCTAGATGTTATTATTTTTTATAAATGACTGATTATTGTGAGACTTAGTTAATAATTATAAAAAAGATCAAAGTTTATTTAATAGTTAATTAAAAGAAGAATTAACTTTTCACACTCTGAACTGTTTTGCATTTTATATCATTGACGATTCAATAAAATATTGCATAATGTTACACGGTTAAAAAGATAGAAGATTAGAGTTTAAACTTGCCATTCTAATTTTATCTAACTAAAACAGTTTCCTATTCCAATCGCAAGTTTAAAATGCAATAATTATTACGTATCGGCGAATAATTATTGTTTAATTGCGAATATGACACTTATGTAAATTTACTTTGCGCCAAAAGAATATTTTTTTATTTTCTACTATTAGAGCCCTTAGAGTAACGAATGTGATTAATTTCGCTAATGCGCTAAGATATTACGTTATTGTATAGATCGTAATATTATGATTGACATTTCAAAACTAAAAAAACTTATTTGATCTAACACCAGCCATTGGGATCCATTTCAAAAATTTAAAAAATTGTTTGTTTATATGTATAATATTGTGTGTTATATGTATTGTATATATTCTACTTAATGTAATTAAATTTTGAAAAAAAAAATGTCTTGAATTTCTGTATAAAATACGAAGAAACTTTTTCCCCGACCTTTTATTACAGACAGACTTCAATTTTATTTATATGTATAGATTGTATATTATCTATATCTATTTACCTTGCTTAAAGTGGACATGTGCACAGCCAGGGCGACGTCTCTCTTCATGTTATAGGGAAGCGAGTTCAAGATTTTAGATTCATCTGTACAAAATACAAATATAAAGATAAATAAATAAAGTAGATGCTGAGTATTGAGGAAACGGTTTGATGTTTACACACAGTTTTATTCTTCTTTGTCAGCTCATAGCCGTCACCACTAAGCTTGCCTGTCATATTAATTTCCAAAAGATCTTGTGGTCTTTGAATGATAGTGATAAAACAATGTTGTTTACATAGTAAATATCCAAATCCGTGATGGTAAGCAGTGTCATATGAATAAATAAACAACAAATATAAAGCTTCATACAACCAAGCGAATCGGTTGCACTACTACAAGCATGCAGGGCATGTGTGCGTGACCACTGGCCGCTTGTCGCGTACGCGGCGGGACTGGAAAAAACCGATTAACCTGGCACAGCCAGTGGACAACAATCTCAGGGCCAGTGCGACACACGTTGTTTGTTTTGTTAGTTGCAAGTTTGAATAGTTTAATGTAAAATCGTGGTATTATTAATAATAGTTGCTTATTGCACTGTGGGTATGAATCATTTCAATTTGAAGCTTACCAGAAATGGTCAAAGGGAATATTAGTAATATTTAATAGCATTACTAGTATCTAATTAAAAAAGAAAAAAATACTAGCAAAAATAAAAATATATCATAATTTTACTATCCTAAGTAGTACAATAGGTAAGTAAATATTTGATTACTACTTTTTAAGTACGTACCTTTACTTTATTGTATGATCCTTTTTTAATAAGAAGAGGGTACTACACAGCATGTTTTTAGTTTTTATCTTTTTATTGTTATTACGAGCTTTTACTAAACCTTTGTAGGTACATATGTGGGTGGGTTGGTATGTAGTAAGTATGTGTGTTAAGTTCACATCGATCGTTCTAATCGAGTTGAAATTTTGTATACCGTAACTTCAGTAACAATGCAATACTATGATAGATCTAGACCGCATGGACACGAAACTTTGTATTTAAATTTAATTTTGTTGCTAAACATGATGATCTTCACCATAAACTGCTGCTGCAGATAGGATAGTCTTCTCACGAAGGATCTTCTCAACAGCTAGTAGCATGATCATGAAAGTTTGAATACTAAACACTTTTAATGAAAACTTATCATTAATACCTGCATCGTTCTTATTTCGCTACCAGTCGGTCTGTCTTTAAATTAAATAAAAATTATTAGAATAGGTAATTTGTAAACTATTCTATCATAGTGAATAATAAAACTAACAAATGTTTTGTTTAATTTGTCTTCACCTCTTGTGACAACCGTACCAAAATAGGTAACAATTTTGCATGTTCTTAAGAAGCTTTGTCTCTGTTCCGTTTTTCTACTCATGTGGCAGTGTCAAGGGGCCGAAACGTCTGCTTCTGCAAACGCCATTTCCAAAAGTTCTAGCGATTACGTCAGGCCTGCTCTAATATGAGCTTCACCAATTTTCAGCAGACTTATTGTGGACAGATGAAATTGAGGAATAAGGACCCATAAATCTAAGTATCCATTGGGCAATAAAGATGAAATAAAGTTATTTGCGTATATATGTGTGGCATACTTCGGCGTGTGATTGTTTGCATAATATGTATAGCTGACAGTATTGATTGCGTCGATAGTCCAGAGTGTGTGTATGTTAGAGCGTGTGTGCCAGCGGCTGTGTGAGTCCATGTTGTGGCTACGTGTATTTATGTACGAGCGTGCGTGTGAGAGCTAGTGCATGCGCGCGCACCCTTGTGTGTGTGTGTGTGTGTGTGTATGTGTGTGTGTGTGTGTGTGTGTGTGTGTATGTGTGTGTGTGTGTGTGTGTGCGCGCGCGTGTGTGTGTGTGTGTGTGTGTACATGTGCGTGCGTTGCGTGTGCGTGTGTGTGTGTGTGTGTGTGTGTATGCGTGTGTGTGTGTGTGTGTGTGTGTGTACATGCGTGTGCGTGTGCGTGTGCGTGTGTGTGTGTGTGTGTGTGCGTGTGTGTGTGCGTGTGTGCATGTGTGTGTGCACGGACCGAAGCACCTCTGCTGCGTCCAGGTGTAGTGCAGCCAGCAAGCGACGCGGCGGCGCAGCGCGCGCGGCAGGTTGAGGCGGCGCAGATAGCGCGCGCACCCGTCCACGCACTTTCGGTACTCCGCCTGAACGAGACGTTAAGCCTACCATAATTTCACCATCGCCACACGACATGTCTTACAATGAGGGCATCCATGACTTTTTGTGTCACCAGGGCGGCCCCACTTTGAAACGAAGTAAAATATTTGAATATATCATGGACGGAAATTAAAACTATTAGAAAAATTATACAAGTTAATGTTTCTTTCCGAAATATTACTTATATTTTTAAATAATTAATCTAAATAGATAAACCAAACTATAAATACGAGGGTGAAACTGAAAGTTCTTAGAAAATCAAAAACTGAACAAACTAGCAAGTTATTAGTTTTATTATATCATTTCAAAATAGTGTCCATTTACATCAATACATTGCATCCGATGGAACCACTGAAAAAAGCGCTTTGGCCACTTGTCCTTATGGGTCTCTTCGACGGCATTTTGAAACGCAGCCACTGCTTCCTCGGCGCCCATAAAATTTCTTCCTCGAAGTTTTTCTTTTATTTTCAGAAATAAATAAAAATCACAAGGTGCGAGGTCGGGGCTATAGGGCGGATGACCCAGTAATTCCACGTCTGACGTCGTCAAGTAGTCGATTGTTTGCTTGACGGTGTGCAACGAGGCGTTGTCGTGGTGAAGGAGGATCCTAATGCGAGGTCGTTTCTCCCGAAATTTATCCAAGAGAAGTGGCAAGCAATTGTTATTTTACCACTCTGCAGTAACTGTTTTTCGATCCTCTAAAACAATTATTACGTAATAACCTGTCCTTCCGAAGAACGAGGCCTCTCTACGCTTCGACCTCTCTTCACTTTAGTTGGCAAATCCTCGGAAGGAAACACCCAGACAGCAGACTGGGTACGACTTTCCATTTACTCCCATCGAGTTGGGGGGTTGATACGTATTTTTACAGAAAAGTTACACTGTTATAAGCACACACACAAAGTTACAATATGCGGAAGCGCGTAATTTTTGAGAAAAAAGTTATTGAAAATCAATTATTCTTACATTGTTTATGTCTAATCCTACAATAAAACTGACGCCATTTTTTTATTGTCATTGTCAGTAGGGATGTCGATTTTTTCCGAAAAATATCGATTTTTTAAATAGATTCGAATTGTAAGCTGATATATCGATTCCCAAAAAATCGATTTCTAAAATATCTATATTTTTTTCATGTTTGCATTTATAATGTAAATATAAATCCATTTTATGAGAAAAAAGTCCCCTTCATCATAAAATATAGGGGGACTGATTCAGAAGGATTTCTGTATCTATTTTGAAACTGCTACGTCTCCGGCGCTATAAAACCACTCTAGGGGTAGGACAGACTTGTACCAGGTGGAGTCGGGGTCAATCAATTCGGTTCTTTGACATAAGTTGAACCTAACCTATTTTATTTGTTATCTGCCCTAATTGGTACTGTTGAAATAAAACAAATTTCAATAAGAGATCATTTATTATGGTATCTTTCTTGTTTTTCATAAAATGGATTTATATTTACATTATAAATGCAAACATGAAAAAAATTGATATTTTAGAAATCGATTTTTTTATGAATCGATACATCAGCTTACGATTTGAATGGATCTACTGACGACAGTGACATTACAAAATGGCGTCTATTTTATGGTAGAATTAGATATAAACAATGCAAGAATAATTGATTTTCAATAACTTTTTTCTCAAAAATTACGCGCTTCCGCATATTGAAACTTTTTGTGTGTGCTTATAATAGTGTAACTTTTCTGTAAAAATACGTATCAACCGCCAACTCGATGGGAGTAAATGGAAAGCTAAGCCGCAGACTGTCTCGTACTTTCAGGATTATAATAATAAATCCAGTTTTCGTCACCCTTAAGTATGTCGAACACAGTATTTGAGTCACCTCCGTTAAATCTTTGAACCATTTCACGACACCAATCAACACGACGGACTTTTTGGGCCGCTGTCAAATTATAAGGTATCCACCGGGCACAAAGCTTCCTGACCGCTACATGTTCATGGAGGATTTGGTGCACTTGACTCATACCGATGCCTAAGCTTTTTCCAATCTGCTGATAAGTCACTCTTTTGTCGTCTCTATCATACACCGCACAACACTGATGTTATCTTCAGTCGTCGCCGTAGAAGGCCGTCCCTCACGCAGATCATCGGTACGATTTGTGCGACCACGTTTAAACTCAATAAACCAGTAGTAAACAGTGGCACGAGATGGGGCTTCATCGTGAATGGACAATCAAAGTCTATCATAACTTTCTTGTTGATTTAAATGACATCGAAAGTCATAAAAAATCATTCTACGAAAATTGTCTCGCGGTAAATTCATACTGATGTGACACAGACAATTTTCAATTTGCCAAATCGTAAACAAATGACAAATGAATAAAATACATGACACAATAATATTGGCAGAGTTCCATTTTCAAAATCTAAAATTTTTTTTTTATTATATCGTTTACACAAGTGGCCAGTTCTAAAAACTTTCAGTGTCACCCTAGTATTCTTAAAAGCAGAAGAATTATAAAGAGAGTTAAAAATGCAATAAATTAAAAATCAACCACTGAAGCATTTTTGTGTATAGAGATATTAGAGCTGAGGTGAAGTTATTTGTTACACGGTGTGTAAAATGCGAATCAAATAAAAGTTTTCGGTTTCTAGTGTTTCACACCTCTGCTCATTCAGTAAATAATTAGTAAATCATCACAATCAGTAAATAATTAGCTATTGGCCCAGGACCATTGTCCTACTTTCATCTTCTTAACACTTGGGCCCAAGAATGTATGGAGACGTCTCCTTCTCCTTTAGGCAGTCGAGAAAATTAAAGCAACTGTTAAATTGCCAGCCCTTCATTGTTCTACTGAAGTGTTATGCAACTTACTTTGTAGCTTACTTTTTTACAACTTGTACGAGGACAATTGACTTGCATTAAAACTGCCACGGTTTCATGTTTTAAAAAAATTGGAAAAGCCGGAAGACAATGGATGTTGTGAGGGGATGTGATTAAATATAAAATATTTTATTGATATTAACTTTGTTGGCATAAAACCTAGTTTTTATATTTATAACAATATTAAGGTTAAAAAAACTTAACAAGTGATGATCCTTTTGGGAATACTATAGTTTCGATATTGTTCTATTGTTATCGTTGTTTAATAATTAAATTTCCTTCTTAATAACTAAAATTTTAAAAAAATGCGTGAGTGTCGTTGAACACTTGGTTGGAACGAAGTTCCTTTCGTAAAATATTATTAATGATAAACGTATTATATTATTGATAAACCAATACAAATAAATTAATTACTAGCGTCTATTAAAATGAAGCGTCATATAAAAAATAAAATAATATTTCTTTCATGGCAAGATAAGAAAGAGTGCGAGGAAGATAAATATTACTTCATCTCGCTTTCTTATAGCCGACAAGGCCGTCTACACTACGTCAGAAAGGGTCGTGACGGAAAAATCTTACACGTTTTCTCACCTAGCCCCCATCCGCCAAATTCGTACCGTCCGATAAGGAACTTTGTTCTAAAATATTCAGACGTCAGAAAGCGTGTGGACACTGAATTACGAAATTCCATTGCATTCATACATACATACATACAGATCAAGCTAATATCAAGCGTGTAAAAAGTTTCATTTTCCTTAACGAGACGTTCTACTAGGTTAATCAATCAATCATCATCATCATCATCATCATCATCATCATCATCATCATCATTACAGCCCTTCACAAGTCCACTACTTAACATAGGCTTCCCCTAAGGAAAGCCACTAAGCCCGGTCCTGAGCCACCTGCATCCATCGACTTCCTGCATGTCTTACCAGGTCTTCACTTCATCTAGTGGGGGGTTGCCCTACACTTTGCTTACCGATACGAGGCTGCCACTCGAGAAACTTTTTTGCCCATGGGTTGTCGCTTCTTCGAGCTTATGGGCAGCTCATTGCCATTTACGCTTGCTAATCCGTTGGGCTGTCAGTTACTCTAGTTCTACTGCGGTTATCCTCATTTCTAAGTTTATCACACAGAGAAACCCTGAGCATAGCCCTCTCCATAGCTCGCTTAGCGATCTCGAGATTCCTCATACATCCTGCAGTGAAGGACCACGTCTCAGATCCATAAGTCATCACTGGCAACACAGACTGGTTGTACACTCTCGTTTTCAAGTTTTGAAGTATACCTGACGAGAAAATGTGCCGTAATTTCCTGAACGCTACCCAGTCGAGTTGAAATTGACCTCTCGGTCGAAGTTGGACTTACCTAGTCGGACTATCTGTCCCATACTCGTCCACATCTTCGACCTTAGTGCTCCCAACAACTACCGGCATACATAGATGTGACATGGACATTAAACATGATTTTAGTTTTGTCCATGTTCATCTTAAGACCTATCCGTTGGGATACACTATTGAGGTTAGGTCTTCCAGCGATTCTGCCATAAGGACTATATCGTCGACAAATTGAAGGTGAGTGATGTACTCGCCATTGATGTTAATACCGTATCCTTTCTAGTCCAGTAGCTTGAAAACGCCTTCCAATGTAGCGGTGAAGAGTTTTGGGGATATAACGTCACCCTGCCTTACACCTTTCTGCAGTTGTATAGGTTTGGTACTCTAACTTTGTACTCGGATAGCCATCGTAGCCCTACTGCACAAACACTTCAGCACTTCGATATACCGACAGTCAACTTGGCACCGCTGAAGGGACTCCAGCATCACCTAAATTTCGACGGAATCAAAGGAATAGAATAGAATGATTTTTATTCAATATTGATTATTACATAATACTTATTGAAAGTCATTTTTTATTTACCACTGGTTCGGAAAATACCTCTGTCCTGGGAAGAACCAGCAAGAAACCCAGCAAAACTTTTTTTAAACATAATTTAACTTAACAATAATTTTGTTTATACAATTTCAAATAAATTTTCATAGAATCAGCATGGTGGCAATCACCTTATTCCCAGGGGTTATTTTCAAAGCGTATACACTGCCCCATAATTGAATTACTAATTCTGTGGATTCCAGTAACTGGCATTACAAGCTTATGTTTATTCCTAGTGTTTAAGGTATAAACATCCTTATTCTTATTAAAGCTATTTATGTTTTATGTACATACATTACATTTTCATATATATATTGCGATGCCAAAGTTAATATGTTTATTTCTTTAAATTTTTCTCTGAGAGACTCTTTAAAATTTAGATTATAAATCGCCCGTACGGCTCTCTTTTGCAAAACAAATATGGCTTCAATATCAGTCGCATTACCCCATAGCAAAATTCCATAAAACATTACGCTATGAAAGTAACTAAAATACACTAACCTAGCTATCTCAACATCTGTGAGACTTCTAATCTTTCTTACAGCATATGCTGCAGAACTAAGTCTGCTTGCTAGTTTAGATATATGGGGGCCCCATTGAAGTTTCGCGTCAATAGTAATACCAAGAAAAACAGTGGTATCCACAAGACTCAACTCCTCCCCATTTAAGAGCACATTGGTTTTTGAATGTTTTACATTAGGTATTGTAAATTTAATACACTGGGGCCCCATGGAAGCTTCGCGTCAATAGAAAAACAGTGATATCCACAAGACTCAACTCCTGCCAATTTAAGAGCACATTGGTATTTTGAATATTTAACATTAGGTATTGTGAAGGTATTAACATTTTGTCTTATTGCCGTTTAAGAGCTTATTGTTGTCGTTAAACCAATGTACTAATTTCGATAGAGCATTATTTACATCGTCATAATTAATTGACTGCCGTTTGAGTTTGAAAATTAAAGAGGTATCGTCAGCAAATAATACTATATCGTGATTGTCCCCTACAAAATAAGGTAAGTCATTAATATAGATTAAGAACAGGAATGGGCCAAGAATCGAGCCCTGAGGAACGCCCATTGATACTGCCGATCCGGAAGAACCTTTAAATGGTACTCCGGATCGGTAGTATCAATGGGCGTTCCTCAGAGCTCGATTCTTGGCCCATTCCTGTTCTTAATCTATATTAATGACTTAACTTTTCTATATATCGGATTACGACTTTTTGAGTTCTGTTACTTAAATATGAAGTAATAAGTCTAAGCGCCAAATTTTTTACACCGTAATGTTGTAGTTTCCTGATTAATGTCTCATGATGAACACAATCGATAGCCTTGGAAAGGTTACAGAAAATAGCTAAGGCATCTTGTGAATTCTCCCAGGCATTAAAAATATGTTTCATAAGCTCAACACCGGCGTCAGACGCCGAGCAACCCCTTGTCAAATCAAATTGGTATTTATGAAGTAATTTATTTGTATTAAAAAAAATTACAATTGACCCAAAATTATTTTACAAAAATTTTACTGAGAGTTGGTAGTACAGAAATAGTTCTATAATTAGCGGGGTCCAATGTACTACTAGATTTAAATAAAGGTATCACTTTACTATACTTCATTAAATCAGGAAACACACCAGAATCGATACAAGTCTTAAAAATAATAGCAAGATGAGGTGCAATTAAATCTATTATGGACGCAATCACTGTAACGGAAATCCCCTACAAATCTGCGGTTTTCTTTACATCAATGGTTTTGAAGTATTTTACAATATTATTCGGTAATACTTTTTCAAATCTAATTTTTTTTAACAGATATTAACATTCTGTTTAAGTAATGACTCGGCGACAGTTGGAGAAGTATTCAATGACTCTGTTGTCAAGAGAGGAACATCCGTAAAATATCTCAAACACCGCTGCAACTTCTTCATTTGATTTAGTCAATTCATTATTAATTTTTAATTGTCAGTTTGAGTTACGAGGTTTCTCTTTACCGATTTCGCTGTTAATCATACTTCACGTCATATTAATTTTATTCTTGGCCGTTTTAATTTTGTTACCAATATGTAATGATTTGGCTGTGGAGCAAACTCTTTTAAACAATTTAGAATAATTTATTACATATTCTTTAAAAGCATCGGAAAGATTATACGATCTTTCATGGTAAAGGTCATATAACCTTCGTCTGCTTTTATGAATTCCTACTGTCGCCCACTCATTAAATGCCTTGCGACTGTTTCTGGCGAATGTTTTAGAAGTGAATGTTTTATTAAATTCATTGTTTATAAGGGTAAATAATTCTCTATATAAACAGTCTGCATTGTTTTTATAAGAAAGCGACGTTTTTACCATATTACTTCTAAATCTCTCCAGGCGTTTTGCATTAATAGGAACAAACACATTTTTTTTTAATTTTAAGGCATTCTCATAGTCCAGATGCGCAAGGTAAAGTGGCAGATTGTACTCTTCAGTCTTCCGTACAATTTGCCGAAGGGTATGTATGTGGTCTATGGTACTAAAGCCTTTTCGGAAACTGGCTTGTTCGGGAGGCTGCAAGTCTGCGTGCGAGACAATTCGTAATGACTCTGGAACACGTAGATGAGTCTCAGAATGGAAATCGGTCTGTAGTAGAAGAGAGCGTTATCACCTTCCTTGAAGAACAAAACCACCGCACTTCTGCTCCACGCCTCCAGAGTAGTCCCACCATGGAGGACGAAATTAAAGAGCTTCTGAAGGACTTTAAGTACCGGTTTTCCACCCGCTTTCAGAAGCTCCGCTGTAATTCCGACCTCGCCTGTGGCCTTGTCGTTTTTAAGGTGCTGGAGAGCCATTCTAATATCGCTCAGACGTCCGGGATATCATCAGAATAGTGTCGAATAAGAATTGCCCTTGGATCGTTTCTCACACTTGCATGTGGCTCCAACGATGACGTGTACAGCTGCCCATAGAACCTCTCAATCTCACTCAAAATCTCAGGTGTCCTGGAAACATCGCTGCCACACTCGGTCTTCAACTTTGACATTTGGCTCTTTCTGGTTGACAGATCTCTAACAAAGACTTTGGAGCCCTGGTTCTGCTCGATCGCTTCTACAATACAAGCTGTATTGAATTTGCGTAAGTCCTGCCGCATGCATTTGGAGACCTGCCTGTTCAGTTGCCTGTATGCTTTCAAATCTGCTGCAACTCCATCTTCCGTCTAACAGCCATGAGATTAAAAGTGTGATCGGAGAGTGTTTGTGTTCTTCTACGGCGGGTCTTGCAGATCTTAGCACTGAAAACGATTTTGTAACTCGAGCTGAAAGTTTTCGGGACTTTGGATTAGAGCACGAGAGGAACGGAGCATTGGCTTCATTAAACGTGACCTCTCCAACTTAACGTTTAGGTTTGGTGTGTAAGAGGCATATTCGGTGATCGCTGCCATTTTTAACCCTCGTCATCACTGAGATATCACTGAACAGTTGCCGTCTAGTCTTCATAATGAAGTCAATCTTATTTTTTGTCAAACCGTCGGGGCTCGACTAGGTCTACTTTCTGTGGAGCCGCTTCTGGAAGAAAAAGTTCATCACAAAGAGTACCACTTGCTCACTGAAGTCGGCCAGCTGCTGACTTCTTGGGTTCCGTTGCCGTATTCGTAATTTCCCTACTTTCAGCTCACTGTTCTCTCTCGTGTCTAGTTTTGATTTGAAGTGTCCCATTAACACCATATAGTGGGTTTTGGAGGAATGCATGGTTTTAGATATATCCTCATACATTTCCTCTATCTCCACATCGGGGTGTGCCGAGGTTGGTAAATAAACCTGTACGACCTTCAGCGAATATCTTTTGGTGATTCTGAGTATGAGGTACGCAACCATCGTCGACACACTCCCAATCTTTACAATGTTGTTATTGAGAGACTTATGGACGATGAATCCGACACCTCCTTGGGACATATGGTCCTCCCGGTGATAGAACAAGTTGCCGGATTCCAGGATTACCATGTCCTCCCCCCTCTCTTTGAACCTCGGATAAACCTATAATATTCCAGCGCAACTTGTCCATCTCTTCTTCCAGCTCCGGGATCTTCTCGTTAGTCCTCAGGGTGCGTGCGTTATATGTTGCCAGGTTGAGTCGTCTTAGGTGTCAACCGAACCTCCACCGGAGATTCTTAGCACCTCCTGCCCCGCCGTTGGCGAGCGGGTTGGCAGTCGCAGATTTTTCATTGTTATTTTGCTGTTATTAGAAAGATGCTGCTGCCCATCTTCTGCCTCAGTTTCTCTCTGTCGCCTCTTACAACACCCTCGGGGAAATGTGGGGTAGTGGGTATTCTTGCCCGCCACTACACGGGACGTCAATAAGTTTTCGGATTAGGACACTTATCAATGCGGTCTATTTTTTCGAATCTTAAATTTGTTAGTAGCAAAGGCCAAAAAAATACTAAATATTAAAAAACTATACCTATTTTGTTTCAAACTTCACATTTGGCGGGAATTCGATTCGTATATAAAATGAAGGAGAAACACGAACATTGTGCGGTTATGTAATATTTCTGCCTGAAAAAAAATTCTACATTTCCAAGGGCATCAACCAACTTGCGAAACGCTATTCAAAGTGAATTAGCTTAAAATGCGATTACGTTGAATAAATAAATACAGTTTACATATTATACTAATCCTAGAGTTTCATTTAATTTCCCAAAGCTTATTGATCAACCAAGAATAAAATGTAAAAAGTATATTTAAATAAATCCTAACGAATAGTTTTTAATGAAACCTGTTTTAGCACTTATATGATATATTTAGATACGTATAAAATTATATATAGATGTCAGTGATAGTAACGGAGAAACGCTTTTTTAAATGTAATAATCATATAAAGTCTTACCCTAGCTCTGGTAGCGGTTGCTATGATGTCGCGTATCTGTCCGATGAGCAAAGCAAACACGAACACGCCCATCAACCATGCTGCAGTCATGAACAAATATTCCGCAGTATTTTCGGGTTTCGGATTCTTGCCTAATCAAATTACAATTATTAACTATTTATAATGAAATTTCAAAATACAGATACCTAAATATATATTGCCTTTAAATTGCGCCATCAATTGATTAAGTGCTCAATTACCGTGAATACTTATAAAATATAAAATTAAAATTTTAAACTTAAATATGGCTGAAAAATTAAGGAAAAACATTATGAGGTCTCCTGGAGTCCTTCAACAAGCATTAGTGCATTAATGGTGTCGCTACGAGTTCTTTTTAGATTCTAAGGCATCTTAAAAGTCTCATTGTGAAAAATAGCACCAAGGTCTCAAGAACTTTTCAGTTTGATGGTTACAGCAGATAATGGTTGTGCGAGGCAGAAAAGTCTTGGAATTTCGCACACTGGTGGACAGCACACTATAGAAATTGAGTTCGCTGGAATTAGTGCGAAAAATTTCTAGGTGCATTAAAAATAGCATAGAATAAAAACAATATTACAACCGTCGAAAGTTTTTATTTAATTTAGACTTGTTTAAAGCTCGTATGAATGTCAAAAGCAAAAACAAGACTTACGTTTATCTACTAACTTGTAATTAGTGAATATGTGATGACGTCATTTATAACTCATATTTTAACAATATTATTATATAATAAAAGTATCATTAATTTGACGGCTCCATTGCCGCAGTGGCTTAGCATTGAGTTGAGGCGTTAAGGGCCGTGGGTTCGAATCCCGTACCGAAAAAGTATTTGTATGACCTTCAAATATTTGTTCCGGGTGTGGATGTTTGTCCTTGTGCAATTTTTGTTTGTGAACTGCCTTCATGATACAGGAGAAAATCCTCGATGCCAATTTTTTTCTTAAAGAAAAAGGAAAAAAGGAGTTATTTCCTTATATGACCTTACCGATAGACGTAGCGGTTTTGGTAGCAAAGTAAAAGCATCTGATGTAGGCGTTGCCTTGGTTATCGTACACCCAGCCGTTGGACGCGAGACCGATGTAGTCACTCATAGCATAATACGCGCACGCGTTCAAATGGATCAGGTAGAAGATGTAGAACAATGTCTTGCCGATCCTTACCTGGTGGAAATAATTAATTTCTTTTATAAAATTGAAGTGATAAACAAACATACTTACCATCAGGTAGACTGATGGTAAGGGGCTACTGCAGCCAGCCAACTTCTCACAAAGAAGATTACAGATGCATTGTCACTTCCGAGGACTAAAATGTAATGCTTTACAGTTTGTATTATACCGGCCCTCAACACCTGCAATTCCCCTGGTGTTGCAGTTGTTCATTCGTGGCGGTACTCACTTACCTTGCTGTGAGCCGTATGCTCGTTTGCCCGTGTATAAAAAAACCATTCAGATTGGAACACAAAATCGCAGGCATTTTTGCTTGGCGGCGACATAGGTAAGAAAGTGGTACCTATCTAGAAGGATACCTAGACAGAAAAGGAGTCCTACCACCTAGTTCTAGATCTAGGTTGCTAAAATTTTTATTTTAAAATAATTCGGGTAGTTGGCCGGCGGCTCAGTCGGTCAATTACTTCGATTGTAAGCAACGACGACGCATTTTATATCGGCGGTTCTCTATAGCCAATTTGACGCAAATGGACCAATATTGTTTTGATGTTAACGTCGAAAGCTACTGCTGATTCAGCCGTAGATTGAGTATAATCTTCAACAATCGCCCTTAAAATATTTTGATTTGAAATGGCCAGTATTGCAGAACGGCAATTTCATAGGTAAATACCTTATTATAAAAAGATCTATGGCTCTCGTCACCCGCTGTACTAACTTAACGTCTACCGTACTTTCTCAATACACTGCCTGAGGATATTCGACGTGAACCAGTAAAAAATCATATTTAAAAACAAATTAAAGCAATACTTATTGGCTAGTCTTAGTGCTTAAGTTTAACATTATTATGTAAATGATACTCAAATGCTCCTGCAGATAAACTGCGTAAGCAGTTTTGCGGGAATATGTTAATTAAAAACCAAACTTTGTACTTTTAATAATAAATAATTATCGTAAAAGAGGCAATACAATCGCCACCTGGCCGAAGTGTGTCACCTCCTACGACACTCACAGGATGAAATGAGGCGATGAATTCTCTTATGCTTCCACCATACGGCACAGAATTGCATAAAAGACCTAAATCTAACAAACATTATATTTAGATTAAAGTTTGGTTGGTTTTTTATTTTTAGATTCCAGATGCAGAAACCTAAAAACTCGCTGAAAACACGCGTATAGTTTACTCACAACGTATGGAGAAGAAAGAACTCTATCCATCGCCTGATGAAACTCCCAGAATGTTTGCAACTTCAACAGTCTGGGAAATCGAAGGATTACTTTGTGGGTTCCGAAGTAGAAGTACAATACATCCAGCGGCAGCAAGGAAATCACGTCGAACTGGAACAAAAGGTAAAATTTAGTTAAAAATACATTTATTAGAATTCTTAACGCTGCAGCTATATCATGGTTGGAGCACGAAAGGGTCGTCTCGACCGTGGAAGGAACACGGTCCCATAGAAAACCAGAGTAAAATAACAGCCTATTGCTGCTGTGTATCGTATGGTGAGTGTAGAGAACCGGAGATCAATTCTACTGTTAACTAGTCATATCATGGTTTTCGAGGATATATTTAGGTGTCTATGGACCGCAGCATACACTAACGATCAGGTGGATTGTGTGCTCATTTGTCACCGTTATTCTATAAAAAAAAGAAAAATCCTTTGAGGTGATTTTTTTGTATATTCATACACGTCAATTGTAGAAGAAGTTTGTAACTCTATATTTATATATATATTACAAGATATTTGAAAAATGTTGAATTCTCTTTTCAATACTCACAAATTCATAATAATAATATTGAGATCTACAGACACACACACACACAAACGATTATACTCATACTCTCGCACACGAACGCACGAACGTACGCGCGTAACTACATATTATGCGATATATTTAAATATTTAAATAAATTATTAAAGTATGTAAATTAAATAAAGTAACTAAGATCAACAACAACTCGCTGGTCTAGTTGTCGCAAGCGCGACTGTTTAGATCTCGGGTTCGAATTCAGGATCGGGCCAAAGCTAAACATTATTTATTTTTGTGAAGAGAAGCTGGCGGTGTTTCACCCCATTCCTCGGAAAGCACATAAAACCGTTAGTACTGCGCATGATCTCTCTCCAGTCCCATCGGACTATGTAAGTGAGGGAATATAGTGCACTTGTGCTTGCGTGCACACTCGTGCACTATATCCTGTCTTGCGCAGGTTATTAGTCTGGAGGGTGTTATTTATTTATGACATTTCTTGGGATACATTCTTAGGAAAGATTGTTAAGTCTAAAACCGCTCGTAACTCTTTATTCATTGCCTTACTCATATTTTTGGTGCAGCTTAGTAATCTTATATGCTATTTTTTATTTGTGCTGATACCTTATATTGCAGCTTCTTTCTGTAGTTCCTTCTTGTTTCCCGCAGGTCATCGACCCAAAAACCCTCGTGCAGGAACATGAGCCTCGGCTTCACTAGAGCCACGTCCAGTAGGTACACCAGGTCGCACAAGTAGTCCGCCGCCATCCACAGTGCCGTATTCTGGGGTGTTTGGTAGGGGAATGTCGTGCGCAAGGGTACACACCACGCGTTGTAGCCATAGCAGAATGTGACTAGAAGCAACCAGCTGATGTAACCTCGACCTGAGGGCGAAGAATAAAATTTTCGGATAATGACGACAGGTGAAGGTAACAGAATTCTCATCCTGTAATGTCTTATCGTTTGTGGAGTGTTCGGCTAGTAAACGACATGCAGTATTTTCGATTATATTACCTAAAAATTTTCAGACCAATAAAAAAAGGAAAAATATGTAAGACGGCGAATATATTTTGCTTGTCTTAGCTTTTATTAATGACCTCACGTCATACATCATCATCATCATTACAGCCTTTCACTAGTCCACCGCTGAACAAAGGTCTCTCCTGGGAATACTACAAAGCACGGTCCTGAGCCACCTGCATCCATCACGTTTTTTTTAGAACTTTAGTATTCGGAAAAGAATTAGAAGGATACCTCTTAATTTTATACTAGGGTTGGCAACACTGTGGTGTCGCACGTAGTTTTTCTTTCGATTATTTTTACGAATATTGGTAGAACATCAATAACAACTGAATGGTTCCTAGGTTTGAACTCTGCCTGGAACGCAGACCAATATGTTGTACATATTTTTTTAATGTTGTAGCGACCAACGAATTATTTCGATAATACTTTATGTAAAATAAAAAAAAATGGAAAAAAAACTCCTAACCTATTCATAGCTAACGTAAATCTTATGCATCCGCAACAAGCTCATTATTTAAAAAAAAAGTAAAACACGGTATATACACGTTCCACTTTTGGACCATAGACCTCTAATTTCCAAGTTTTGAAACAAACTAATTTTATTGACAGACTACATATCCTCAGAATATTTATAATAATCTATACGGATTTCCTTACGATGTTTTCTTTTATGGTCACGTGGTAAGTTATACTTAAATGTTTTATGTATGACGAAACTAGCAATATAAAACAAACACTAATTTCCTTTCTATTGGCACCCCACAGGCAATTAACAACGGAAAATAAATAGAGCTTCAATTAAAAACTCACCTTGTGGATCAATTGGAACGAACGGGTCGCAGAAAGCAGGCAGAACTAAACCCTTGCATTTTTTGTACCGGCTGGGAGATGATGGAACGGGACTTTGCGGTGTCTCTACTATCGGCACCAATTTTCTATCGGGCGATCTGTAAATTATGTGAAAATTAATTAACTCGTCTAGTCTTAGCACCTTATGGTCGCGGTGAGAACACGGTATAGGGGAATCTATCACCATATTTCATCCCTTGTAGATCTTGGGGTATGGGTAGGCTGCTAAAATGGTATAATATGCCAGAATTTAATGGCTTTCGATAGTTGCCTTACCATGTGGTAGCGATGTAAAAATATCCACTACCCCATATGAAGACAAAGGGAAACAAATCCAGGAGATGGGCAGCAGCAACTTCCTAATAACGACTAACAATAAAAAACTGTGGTTGCCAACCCGCTTGCCAAGGGTGGCAACGATGGTAAAAATCCCCCGACGGGGCAATCTATGGGGGAGGCCTATGTTCAGCAGTGGACTTTAATAGGCTATAACGGTAAGGGGATAGTTGGCGTAATACTATTTTATACGCCAAAACATTGACGTTTAAACTTGTAATAATATATTATATTCAAATCATTATACCAAATGTAAAATATACATACCACCATGGATAAGTAAAGTAACAAATACTACCTCCCAATATTAGACATAGGCCTCATGTCGTTCCTGTATGGGTTTTAGAGCAGGGAAATTCACCGCCTCACCCCCATGCGTATTTACTAATAAAACTTAATATTTAAATTCAAGTTACAAACCGTTTTAGCGAATTATCTCTTGACTGTAAATTCTTAAAATCCTTGAGCTCCGTATCTTTTTCTATGACATCTTTTTTAGAGTTAAACCTTGGCGGTGGGCTACTTGTTAACAACCGCACTTTCTGCAATGGGAATATTCTGAAAGTGTAAAATTTCTTTAAAATAACCTCTGTTCAATATACCTATATCTTATTTTGTACTAATGTTTTATTCATTTATTCATTACAGATAATAAAAAGTCTACTCTGCAATGTAGGCCTCCTTATAAATTGCCGAATAGCCATAGTTGTCAGGCTTGGTGGATGGCTTGAAAACCGCAGTTTTTTTTTTTGTTTTTAGTTGTTATTGGGATAATGCTGGTGTCCAGCTTCTGTTTTAATATCTCTCTGTCGCCTCTTACGACACCTATGATATGGAGTAGTGGATATTCTTATGCCGCCACTACACGGTTCAATATTATTATTAAATGTAAGTCAACGTTTTATTTGCAAAATAAATAACAGTATAATTGCCAACAAATGTTTTGGCCCGCAGCATTGGACACGTACAGACTGCTGCGGGTCTGGTGCAGTGGGAAGTGCACCAGACCCGCAGCAACGGTATAGGAATTAATTTAGTTATAATTGGGTAATGTTGTTACTAACATATTTTATTTTTTAAAATACTTACCAACCTATATGGATCATGATCCTAAATAAATGATTATTATTCTTGTTGTTATTTAATTTGCTATATAGACATAAAAATAATGTGTAATCGAACACAAATGTTAAAAATTTACCCTCTGTCTCTGTGCTGGCCTGTATCATCTTGAACATTTGTTTTAGTTTCGATATTGTAAACTGTTTTCGTTAATCTGTAAGAAAAGAAGATGACAGATAATAAAGAAAGAATGACTTTACTTAAATGGTGTATTGTAACTTAACATTAATTTAGCAGTTGTAATAAAGTACATTTTTTTAACTTATTTTTAAAAAACTTCAATATTTTCAAATACATGTATCATGACTTTATTTATTTTTAAAGGATAAAGGTGACAAACGAGCACACAGACCACCTGATGGTAAGTGGTTGCTGTGGCCTATAGACCATCTATCCTCGTTTGCGAATCAAAATGCAGTTGCGTTGTCAGCCGTGAGGACTAAGATGGAATGCCTCTTTTCCAGTAAAAAGGGTCTCCGGTTCTACACTCACCATATGAAACACGGCAGCATTAAGCTGCTATTTAACGCTGGTATTCTGTGAGAGCGTGGTCCTACCCCGATCGAACCGACCTACCACGTTTGAGCAGAGTTAATACTCATTAATTCGAGAAGTAGGTAGCAATTTATATGAGAACTAAGTGGTGGAACTATTTTTCTGCCTAGAATTCTGGGTGGATACCACCCTCTTAACTATTTCTACCACCAAATAACAGTGCTTGTACTGCTGTGGTCCAGTATGAATTGTTTAGGGAGCCAGTACAGTTACTAGTTAAATATACTGGCTATACTTGCATTATACAATGTCCTCCTGACCGAATTTCGGTCACGGCGGCCTGTCTCAACAGAGACCAGCCACCTGCGCAGGACAGGATAATAGTGCCCAAGTATGTGCGCAAGCACAGGTGCACTCTCTATTCCCTCACTCTCATAGTCCGATGAGACGGTAATTCGATACGACCGGAGAGAGATCAGGCGCAGGACCAACAGCTTTACGTGCTTTCCGAGGCACGGAGGTGGAAGAGCGGTAACTTCCTAACTCCGGGCTGCAAGTGAGAATTTTGCCAGAAAAATCCAATAACTGTCTTTGGCTCGGCCTCGGTTTTATTCAAATAGCTAGCTGTTCCCCGCGACTTCGCCCGCGTTCAATTTAGGGATTTAATTTTTTTGTTGCGGAACCCTAATTATTTTTCTAAAATAAAAATAGCCTAAGTTACTTTTTGTAACATCAGCTATCTGTCAGCGAATGTCCCGTCAAAATTGGTCAAGCCATTTCGGAGATTAGCCGGAACAAACAAACAGACAGACAGACAAAATTTTTAAAAATTGTGTTTTTATTATAAGTACCGTTCAAATTGATTTATTTGTATAGATATATTCACTTTTCAAAACATTAAGCGATTGTATCCGCAACCAAGATTCTAGTATCAGATACACAAGAACACTTGCATAACATTCAGCATTGAAAACTAGTATTTGTACTAAATTGTAACTTGTGCTTAGTAAGCAATTACGCTGATCGCTCATACGTACATGTCACGAGTAGGCGTTGCTTGAGGGGTGCACCAGGATCCGTAAGCTCCCTTCGTAGATGTATGGTGGCTCGTTTTCGATGACGATGGATGGACAGTGTGCTGAAATCGATATATAACTTTAAAATATGTGTGATTCGGTTAGTAAACTTGGCTATTATATTCGATTTGCTCTTTCTAACCGTTTTCTAATTGGTTACTAATTATTATTGCATGCTTGATTTTCTTTACGTTACAAATACACTACAGAATTCGATTTTAATGAAAACTTAATCAGGGTTCAATATGCAATTAAACATCGAATGAAATTGGTTTGCAGTATCGGCTCCATACCAATTGCCAAAGGATCTGCGAGACGAAGAATCGGAAATGGTTTCGAAAACAGTAGGAACGGACTCCATGAACTAATAAACGTAGAGATGTCTTGAAACTTACATTTTCCAATAGATAAATGAAAGAAAGTATGTGCCAATAGTAGTGAACAAGAACATTATGTACATATTACTATAATATATTATATGTTTTTCCGACGACCCTTCCTATAAAAAATCCTTAAATTCGCAATTAAATGTGTTATTGAGGGTTACTTATCGGGATAAAACTCTCAAGTTGGACCAAACTGCACACAGTGTGCAAAATTTCATTGAAATCAGTTCTATAGTTTAGGAGTTCATCGCGGACAAACAATGTGACACGTAGTTTTTACAATAAACTAGCTGACCAGGCAGACGTTGTTCTGCCCTGTCCTGAGATCACCCTTTCTCCAATAAAAAAATCTTTAAATTCCTAATAAAAAATGTTAAGTGTCACTTATTGGGATAATAACTATCCTATCTCTCAAGTTGGACCAAACTGCTCAGTGTGCAAAATTTCATTGAAATCAGTTCAATAGTTTAGGAGTTCATCGCGGTCAAACAATGTGACACGAAATTTTTATAAAGATAAAGCAGATGTATGGAGTAGTAGGTAGGTAGTTGGTAGGACAAAACCGAGATATGTCATTCATCGTTCATTTTTAAAGAATAATTATTATTACTTTGGTAGTTATTCTCATTTCGTTTACTAAGTTTGTGAGAGTACGCTTTTTTTAAAGTAATTACCTTAGTTTGCATTAGGACAGTTAAATCGTTAAATTAAAACAAAAGGTGTGTATAAATATATGAAACACTTAAGGAATCTGCGAATATAATAAGCCAGTGTTTATACACTATCCCACCCGACATGACCTGAGTGGTGATGATGACGAAGCCGAAGATGGTAAGACGCACTGACTTAACTAAAGTACTGTCTGTTTGCTACGGATATTTTTCATGCGACGTTACGAAAATAATTAACATTGGGCGAAACTACATTTATTTATTCACCTTTATATATAAAAAATTGCGTGTCACATTGTTTATCCGCGATGAACTCCTAAACTACTAACAGATTGCAAGAAATTTTGCACACTGTGTGCAGTTTGGTCCAACTTGAGAGATAGGATAGTTTTTATCCCTATAAGTGACCCTCAATATTTTTTATTACGAATTTAATAATTTTTATAGGACACAGGGTCGTCGGAGAGCGCAGAACAACGTCTGCCTGGCCAGCTAGTGTAACATAATTTACACCATATTTTTAACAAAAATACAACTTATTATAAACCTTTGTAGCCGGTGGAAGGAAAAGGGGAGATCTCCCGCCGGGCAAGTTGTTTTTGTCCGGGGAGCGGCCAACGCTCCGAGTGGTAGTTCGGAGCTATTCTATATATACTGCTTTAACTTCGGAATTTTGTTAATGCGATTTAGGCTTCGATGTGTATCGCTTGTGGCGCGATGACAGCGCCGCCACATCACCCCCCTGCTCAGACCGGAGGTCGATAGTGCAGTCCGATTGCCGGTGCGTCCTTAATACCGGTGGGGAATGCATGCTGTGTGCGTAAGGGCAAGTGACGCCGGTGCGAACGATATGCTGGTGTGTAATGCATGCCATACTACGCATTTGCAAGTGATGCCGGTGAGAACGATGAGCCGGAGCAAGTGCCATGGATTTCGCCACACCTTATTCCCTACGGTATACTGCCAAGAACGCTGACTGAATTTCCTCGTTGAAATACAGACGTGAGATTTAAAATTGGAAAATTATTTTTTTTTTCCTAATTTACCCCTAAAATTGTTTAAGTAAGCATAACCGCATATATATCACATAATATTTCACTTGACTATGCGGAGTTAGCTTGATGCCATGCCATGTCCACAAATATTATATGAAAACTTAAGTAGTGGGTCATCGTTTATGATTTAACGGCTTCAATAAAACGGATCGTAAAAGCCATTGTTTACGCTATAGAAATCTATATCTAGAATAAGTATACGAGTCCGTTAAACGATGACTGTTCGCGTATGTTTTTTATTAATTATTTGAAAAGAAATAGATTATTTGTTGTAGAAAAAACCACATTAGATATTCTTGTTCATTGGTCTGCAGTAGGTCATAACAAAACCATTATTTAATACTATTGAACCTTACGAAACAGTATAGGAGCAAATCATCATCATCATCATTACAGCCACTGCTGAACATAGGCCTCCCCCAAGGAATGCCACAAAGCACGGTCCTGAGCCACCTGCATCCATCGACTTCCCGCATATCTTACCAGGTCGTCACTTCATCTAGTGGGGGGACGCCCTACACTTCGTCCGCTGGTACGAGGCCACCACTCGAGAACCTTTTTTCTCCATCGGTTGTCGGTTCTTCGAGCTATATGGCTGGCCCATTGTCACTTCATTCGCTTACTAATCCGTTGGGCTATGTCAATCACTCTGGTTCTACTGCGGATATCCTCATTTCTAAGTTTATCACGCAGAGAAACTCCGAGCATAGTCCTCTCCATAGCTCGCTGAGCGACCTTGAGCCTCCTCATCCGGCCAGCAGTGAAGGACCACGTCTCAGTTCCATGGGTCATTACTGGCAACACGCACTGGTTGTACAGTCTCGTTTTCAAGTTTTGAGTTATACCTGCGAACCGAACGCTGCACGACCGAGTTGAATCCGTCGATTGACCTCTCGGTCGAAGTTGGACTTACCTAGTCGGACTATTTGTTCCAAGTAAACATACTCGTCAACAACTTCGAGCTTAGTGTTCCCAACAACTACCGGCATAGGTGTGACATGGACATTAAACATGATCTTTGTTTTGTCCATGTTCATCTTAAGACTTATCCGTTGGGAAACACTATTGAGATCATTGAGCATAGTGCTTAGGTCCTCCAGCGATTCTGGTCTTTATTCTAAAATCATTCTCTGCCAGTCAAATTTAGAGCAGTGATAACACTACGAAGGTGGTTATCTCATCTGGCATAAACGAACTAAGTTATGCTCATATGTACTTGCGAGATATTTCTGACATTTCTTAATTACCTCTGTAGCATCCAGATTCCAGACAGAGGAAGGACCAAGCTCGTACAGTACAGAACACAACCGTGAAATAGCATCATAACGCTCCTGTGTTTAGAATGTCGAATGAAAAGTACCGGAGACTCTTTTCAATATAATTTATAATTTACAATATTATATTTCCCTTTTTAATATTACTAAATAAATCTAAAATTGCTGTTCCAAAGATTTATAACACGATTCCATGTAATATTACGGTTTTGTCTTTCCATAAATTCAAAGTGCATTTTTTGCATACGCATTCTTATAAAGAAAGGATATTATAAAAGGTTATTTTTCAAAGAGTAGCCAATTTTTTTTTTAAATACGAGTAAATAAAGCTTCTACTTTTATTTGAAATTATCCTGAATTTAATGTTATTTTGGCCAACAAAGTTTTTATAGTGCCACCAACTTATCTGTTCAGGTGGACAAAATTGGAACTAAGGCCGCCATTTTGTAAATGACATTTCGCTGTCAATTATTATTTATTCTAAGCTATCAGGTGAATGTTTTTAAAAAATGCAAATAAAATGCCTAAAGCTCTTAAAAGTGATGCGCGATAGATTATCCTGAAAGTTTTATCTTTTATGAAAGACGAGAAACGTGTATAAGCCCCAACTATACCATTTGAAAAGCCGTATGAACGTGTTGCTGCCGAGGCAGGTTTGTATTGCCAGATATGGAAAATTAAAATCACCTATAAAAGTGAAACCTAGAAAAAATATTATCTCAATGTACTGTAAAACTGTTGGAAATTTAATGTTTTAATGCCCCAATTAATTGAAAATGCATTCCATAAAATTACACCGGTGTAGTGGAAAAACATTTGTAATCATATGAAAAAAATTGAAAATGAATACAGACTAAAATACGCGTATTTAGATGAATCATTTATTATAGAGTGTTAGAGCGATAGCAAAAGCGACTTCAGTGACTCAGAAGATGAATTATTGGAACCAGTAGCTAGCGTGGGTACATCTTTCAAAACACAAATTCCTGGAGTTCGGTCGCTTGACCTCCGAGATCACGACTACAATTAATTTTATAAAAAATAAATAATATATATAATAACACTAATTCTCACTAATTTTAATATATTAACAAGAAATTTGTTTTATTTTATATTATGTGTAATGAATATGTAACCACCTATTACCTCGGTGAATTTCTTAAATGGCAATAGTAAGCGCTCCACTAGCGACGCTGTCAACTGAACAGATAAGTTGGTGGCACTATACCTACTGTTTGAGGTTTTTTTTATTATTTTTTTTTATTACTCCTCTGCAAATTTGGCCAGTTATTGCAAAATAGCCCTGTATATTATAAGATGACTATTTAAAAAAGTAAGAATGTGTGGACTTAATGACCTTTTTTATAAAAATAAATGAATATATACTAGCGAAGTATTCCATTTTAGTCCTCAGGAATTTTGATCCTTAATCGAGGATGAATACTGGAGCACACAGTCTACCTGATGGTCAGTGGATGCTGTGCCCCAAAGACATTTATCCTCGATTAAGAATTAACATGTAGATGTATTGTCTCCTCTAAAAAATAGGAGTAACATGAAATGAAATGAAAAAAAATCTATAAATTACGCAAATTTAAGATTTCTATGATATTTTGCTTGTTACATTTTAGTTTTAGGTTAATAATTTTACGAGACAAAATCTACATTTTTTCGTACGTAAAAATTTTATACAGTAATTAACGTTTTTGAACTGAATAAAATTAAAAGAAAGATTTGTAACTCATCAATAATTCAGAGTCGATCAAAATTATTGTACACGTGCCGCCATAGGAAAGCACTTGAGTAACACTTCGGTATTCAAATCACAAGCTGTCTGATACGTTGGGAGGTTAATGGCGGTTTGTCCTTGCTTATATCGGGGTACCTGCATTGCTCCAACGTACGAAAATCAATTATCGCTTTGTTACCGACTCTAATTTGAATCTTTGAGAAGTTAATTTGAAACCCTACAGTTATATTTTTTGTTATTTTTACCCAACTGTCGCATATTTCTAGGACATATGAGGTCTGCCAATATACTTACTTACTTACTTATCTTCACGCACAATCCCTGACGGGGTAGCCAGAGAGAACAGATCGCCAAGTGTCACGATCCTTACAAACCTCTTTCGCTTCTTTCAGATTCATTATCTTCTTCATGCATGCACGTCTAGGTATCCGAGTACTCTTGACCCTACCCTCTTCGAGCAATTTGCTCACATGGTCTTCGAAAGTTAGTCTCGGTCTACCTCGACACCTTTTAATATTAACTTTCGCGCTATATATTTTCTTCACCATTCGGTCTTCACTCATTCGCTCAACGTGCCCAAACCACCGAAGCACGCCCTTATCAATTTTTGTGATAAGGTCATCTTTCAAACCTGCCATATTGCGAATCTCTTCGTTTCGCTTTCGGTCGGCCAAGGTAACGCCGCACATTTTACGAAGAGATCGCATCTCCACTGCATTCAACTTACTTTTATGCTTCTTCTGGCATACCCAGGTTTCGCTGCCATATAACAAAGTCGGTACCAACACTGCGTTATGTATTGCAAGGCGTGCACTCTTCGCTACGCCTTGCCTTTTGACTAACGCAGTCAGGGCACCATTGACTTTGTTCCCGGCAGCGACACGCCTGTCCACATCTAAATCACATCTTCCATCCCGGCTAAAAGCACTCCCCAAGTATACAATTTAATTTACCTGTTCTAGACATTCCTGATTTACCCATATTTCACACTTCGTTCTCTCTTCGTCCCTTTCAAATACCAGAACCTTAGTTTTATTAGCATTCAAACGGCCAATATGCGTCCATTAAATAGTGTGGCGGACTCTTTCTTACCCTTGAACACTCTCAAGCTGTGAGGATGTCTGTGCCCATCAGTGGAACCTTTACCGTAAAGGTTATACTATATATGTTATTCTATATATAGATTACAAGAGTTAGATTTTATGATTATATGTTTTTTTTTTTATAGGATAAGGGTGACAAACGAGCACACAGACCACCTGATGGTAAGTGGTTGCTGTGGCCCATAGACATCTACATCTATCTTCGATTAAGAATCAAAATGCAGATGCGTTGTCACCCGTGAGGACTAAGATGGAATGCCTCGTTTCCAGTAAAAAGGGTCTCCGGTTCTCTACACTCACCATACGAAACACAGCAGCGTTAAACTACTATTTTACGCTGGTATTCTGTGAGAGCGTGGTCCTTCCCCGGTCGAGCCGACCCATTCGTGCTACAACTATAATATAGCTGCAGCATGGCTCTACCACGTATAAAATATAAATTATACCATACGAATAACAACAGCATTTCGCTGGTATTCGTCGAGCGGACCGATTCTTGCTACTGTCACAACACAGCCGTGGTGAACCTTTAGCACGTAAAACTGCATTGAAGTCTCCATCGGCCATCGTAGCCGCTTACTATTAGGTGGGGTGTTAGCTCCCTTGTCGTTTTGGTGTTACATCTAAACCCGAAAACCAACATTTTTTTTTAAACTTTGTACAATTGCTATTGCTATATTACCTAGTAGCCCCGGCTTCGCACGGTCGAATTCTAGATCTCTACAACAACGCCACCTACCGGGTCCAATTTTGAATCTAAACCAGTCTCTAATCAACTTAATCACACACAAACAAATTTTCATCAAAATCGGTCCAGCCGGAGGAGTTCAGTCACATACTCACGGACAGAAGAATTATGTAATATATAATATGCATGTATTGTATATATTATAAACTTTACTCTGAAATCAATCTGCCTATTGATGAAAACCGCATCAAAATTCGTTGCGTAGTTTAAAATATCTAAGCGTACGGACAGCGGGAAGCAACTTTGTTTTACGCTATGTAGAGATTATGAAAGTTCACGCAAGTTTTTTAGAAATCTTTAAAGTATACCTATTATAATAACTGCATAGTATATTTACTATCTGTTACTTCCTGTTGCTTTTCATAACTAGGGAAATGAAATAGGATCTTATGTAAACATAATTACTTAAACACTTAAGTTAGCGCGGTAGGGCGCGGCGAATTATAAAATAAACTGTTTGTAACGTATGTGAGGCGTGGTAAAAGTAGTTAGGCTGGACCAAATGCTGCAGAAAGTGGACTATAAGTTTGTTTGTTTTCTTTTGTTCTAGACAAAAATATAACTAAATCTCAAACTCGGGTAGTCACCAGATCCAGCCAATGTCATACAAAAAGTACTTTTTTTATAGAAGAAGGGGCAAACGAGCATGCGGCTCATCTGCAGAGCTAGCATGGGCAGGCGACAATTTTATTCTCGGGGAAAGGAGAAAATGTATATCCCCTCGCTTAGTTTTATCCACCCTTCGAGCATGGGCACACCAGTGGACAGTGGATATAATATCCACAGTAAATAAAACGAGAGATAGACTTAGACTTAGATATATTTTTGTATGAATATAAACTTAAACCCACGTCCAATGAACTAGGATTGGATTGTTCCTTTCAAATGTCAAAAAAGCATAAATTTTTTATCTTAATTTGGATCCATGCTACGGACGGGGGATATATGTCTACTCGTTATGTCAAACGGGGTTATACTTCTCCCCGTTGCCATGCTTTGGCTTAGGGACAAGATAATTTTATCTCTTGTGAGTGGATATAATCGGGGGATATTTTTTTTCCCAGCCCATGCTAGCCGTACTAATTGTAAGTGACTGCCGCCGCCCATGAACAATTACAACACCTGGGCTGGGGACAGATACTTTGCCAGCGTTTTAGAAAGGAGTAAACCCTTATCTTGAAACTTAACATGCTTAGAGTGTATAACTTAAAATAAGTGGTGTGTGCGTGCGTACCTGTGTGATAATTTTATATTTCTAACAAAATTAAACAATTTTCTATTTTAATTACTGTATTTCCACTAATCGCAAGTTAACAATAACAAAGTTTGGACAATATTCGAAATATATCGTAGGAAAACCTAATATGACAAAGAATAATTCATCTAGCTGTTTACCATTAAAACAAAAATTGCGTGCCAAACACCAATTGAGTGGAGACTTTAGCTAAAACTGGAGCTTAATTGCAAGGTACTGTCTTGAAATCATTACTTTCGATTAAATAATAATAGGCAACAATTTTGTAATACAATTAATAATTGTTGCGAGCGCTTAGCCCCTGAGCAGCGCTAGCAACTCAGGGCTTAGCGCTAAATATATAATAATATGCCCGGGTTCGATCCCCGCCGACACTAATGAAATTGTTAATTGCAATTTCAAGTGCTGATTTACCACGTGCTTGGCGGTGAAGGAAAACATCGCGAGGAACACTGCATGTCTGAGAAATCAGAAAAATTTTTTTTCGATGACATGTGAAGTTCGCGAACGCATTGGGGCAGCGCGGCGGACATTTCCTTGCCCTAAAATACACTCAGAAATGAGAGGAGGCTTGGGCCCTGCAGTAGAACGTATATAGGCTGTCACTTTAACTTTTTACTTTGACACAACAATAGAATTACAACAGAGATTGCGTTTTTCAGAATTATTTTTTTTTTAGTTTTAGGTATAATGGAAACAACTGTTTTCTCTGTAAATAAATTAAAAAAAAAATCAAAAATGATTTGAAGGCAACACTATTATAAGTGTAATGAAAAAATAACTTTTAATAAAATGTAAAAATCGACTTTAAAAACTGAAAAAATTGTTTGTGACACGAATGAATCGGCTCGACCGGGGAATGACTATACGCTCTCACAAAATACCAAGGTGAAATAGCAGCTCAATGCTACTGTATTTCTTATGGTGGGCGTAGGAAACCGGGACCCATTTCCCTGGAAACAAGGCATTCCATCTTAGGTCAGGAGTGACAACGCCTTTGCATTTTGATTCTTAATCGAGGAGAAATGTAGATGTCTATGGGCCAGAGCATTCACTTACAATCAGGTGGACTGTGGTGCTGGTTTGTCACTTTTATTCTATTTAAGAAATCCATCATGATAGCTTCATTTGATACTAAGACATATAGTGATGAGTCCGATGAAGCTGTAAGAGCCAAAAGGCTAACAGCACTAACATCACAGAAATGACAGACATGGTGTATCGAATAAGTTCTTAAAGTCAGTTTTTACTTTTTATTACGGGTAGAGTCTTTTTTACCGTTTTGACTGGACTAAGCAATATAACAAGCTTTTGTGGTAACAACACCTGGAACATCCTCTAAATAATTAAAATAAAAACTTCATTCCCTATTTTTCCATCCTTAGGGAAGACATTTTGCTTCAAATTTTAATTGGACCATCCTTTTGGTATAGCCTATTTAATAAAAAATAATTATTTAAATCGATACAGTCATTTTCCAGAACATACATAAAAACATCCGCGTCTAAAATAAAAATAATAGAACATTCTCCTTTTTTGAAGTCGGCTAAAAAGAACGCTTTTTTCGTTTAAAGATTCTTTAATTACAATAACTGCCAAAATATTTGCAAGAGTTTTTATAAGTACTACAGAATTGTTTTCAAAACAGTTTCTTTTTAACGTAAATATGTATACGTAAATATCAATCGATATGCAGAAATAAAATTAATTTTAAATCATTCGAATTTTAATTACGATACTGTCCAGTATTTTTTTTATCACTTAAATTATTAATACCTACAGAGTTTTATTACTTTCATACACAAACTTACCACGTCAACTGTTATCTCCATATCCAGATAAAAATAGCTTCCTTAGAAAATTTCCTTCATTTTACGAGAAAAACGTGTTTACAATAGACGAAACAAACGGTTTTCCCTCGCGCGCGACATCTACGGACGTTCTCTGTCCACTGTTCGTAATCGTAACTTACTACACAATAGGAAAAACTTAGCAGTCCAATACAGTTCTATACATTGCTGTATTTGTATTGTTTTGATTAAGAAAACCGACACAGTAAAAAAATGATATCTATTGAACAGAATTAAAGTATAAATAAATGTTTGTTTTTATTTTAAGGAAACGTTTTTATTTTATAGATTGGAAAGATAGTGCAAAATTTAAGTGGACTTGATAAACTAGGCCACTATTAAATTAACGAAGTATGTACATATATGGGTACAGAGCTCCTTTTTTACGTTCTTATGATATGTTTTTGTGTGTAGGATGTAATGTTGTTATGCAAACAGTATTACTTTTAGTAATCGTCGTTTCTCTAATTAATTACAAATCGCTAGTGTAGTGGTGCCCTTAAACAACAGTAGACATGAAACGGAAATTAAAAACATAAATCTTTACAGGTACAACAAAATTGGATGAGACAAAATAGCAGTTTAAATGTATTCAAGTACAGAAACGCGTAAGTAATTAAGAATGAAATTGCTAGCCTGTTTAATTGACATTTAAATGCTTCTAACACGCTTTTATTAGCTTGAATTGAAACTGGAACCTAGAGTTTTATAATTCAGTTTTCACCCACTTCCACAGGTCTGAACAATCTGTAATTTTGCAGATGTATTCACCGATGAAAATAAAATAATTAAATAACTATGACCTAGTATTTTCACTGGATCATCATAGCTTATGGTCGTCAATGCGTTTATTTTAAGTTACTAAAATAGATTTAGAGAAATATATATAATACATGTCAATTTTCATTGTCATACATAGAATTGATGGACGTCGCATTTTTCAGTGTTCAGGACAGAATATCTGTGGGTATTATTTTCTTGAAAATAGGTACAATTATCCCTCCATTGAGACTATCTATTAGCGCAGTTTAAAGAGCTCTTTACACTGGGCTAATAGATGATATAGGGTGGTCTATATTCAGCAATAATAATGAATGAATGACAAAATAGGTAAAGACTGGAAATATTGCCATTTTTGGAAGTATTTAAAATCTAGGACAGATTTTCTAACAAAAAAGGTTCTCTTAGGCTGGGCATTGTTAAATCTGACATTATATTCTTCATAAATTTGGTATTTATTTGTGATTTAATAAAATAATTACATTAAATAGACAAAATACTCAAAAAATAGAAAATGGCAAAGTTAACCTTACTTTGTGGCAACTTTAATATCAGGGTTTATAATGAAAATAATAGGATTTCACGTCAAGGATTACAGTAAGTTTACCACATAATAAATATACAACACTCAGCTTCTTTAATGGTGTTGCAAGTAACAAAGTTTACTCTAGTATCAAAGTTGCGCCCCCATTATTCAATTTTTCATGCTAACCTGAAAATATGTGTCAGGGTTGTCAAAAATCCTTTATCATGTACTTAATTTTTTTATTTAAATCTTGTCACATTAATCTATTAGAAAGTTTAGGTTAGGTTTTTAACTATGTTTTCAATACTTAATAATTTAATAATTCTAAAATAAAACTATTAACTGCGTAGCAAGACAAAACTAAAATATAACCAACAAAATTACTCTCTTCTAAAATTACAAATCAAATTAGAAAAAAAAATAAGCTTAAATCAATTATAGTTTAGATCAAAAATAAAGCTTGTCACAATCATTTTTAAAAAGTATTTGTTTTTTATTGCAATCAAGAAAATAATCATAGCCAACCTCAATATTGTTTTCCCACAATAGCAAAACTAGGTAAGTTAAGGTACAAGTAAAAATGACACTGTTCTTTGGGTGCAAATTAATATCATCACACTAATTTGAAAATATGAAAAATACTGAGTAGTAATAATATTATTAATACCCGGCAATGCAGTAAAAATAATATAGATTTCTCTTTTCTTTTCCTTCTTTTTTGATAATGATGAATCGATTGACAACTCATTTGGTAAAATCAGTCCAATACGCTTTTACGGTCAAAAATCTATAAAAAACATATATAATATATAAAATATCTAGTACCTTCCCTTTGCATTGCCTTCGCCGGGTAAAATATAGGTTGAGAGTGACAACCCTTAGTTGTAGCAAAACGTGGCAAAGGAACCGCCACATCGTACATCACTAGTATGGTAATTTGCCAAGTCAGTTTTATAGATAAATGACCACAATTTTAAAAAGGAAACATTAGATTTCCTAACCATTAACATTACGTTATTACAAAGATGTAGATAACTACATTCAGTATTTCAAACAAAGACATTTAAGTAGTTATATTTAAATCTCTTTGATTTCAAACAAAATAACAAATGTTCTAGAGCACTGAACAATGAGGTTACGTCGCCATTTTCGTTGTTGTCATATCGATAACGATGGTGTCAATTTTTTATTAAATTTCAACTCAAATACGTCAAAAAATGTTACGTTGTTCACGATAATCATAATTTTAGTGGTCCGATCCCTTCGCTCTATCTACCGATGACATTCGTTGTTGTCTGTTTATGATGTCTTACTTTCATCACATCATCAGTTGGTCAGTGATCGATCGAGACATCAAGAGTTTCACCGTCAACTAAACACTTTAAATGCTTCGAAGCGTGAATATTTACACCGGCCGGCGCTGCGATAGCCAGTCAGTGACATTCGTTCGAATATACCACGAAACGTGATATATAATGTTTTAAACGTAATAGAGCCATGCTGCAGCTATATTAATAGTATAGTTGTAGCACGAATGAGTCGGCTCGACCGAGAAAGGACCACGCTCTCACAGAATACCAGCGTAAAATGGCAGCTTGACACTGCTCTGTTTCGTATGGTAAGTGTAAAGAACCGGAGACTCATTTTACTGGAAAAGACGCATTCCATCTTAGTCCTCACGGGTGAAGACACATTTGTATTTTGATTCTTTATTGAGGATAAATGTAGATGTCTATGGGTCACAGCAACCACTTTTTTTTTATAGGAGAGGAGGCAATCGAGCATGCGGCTCACCTGATGGTAAGTGACTACCGCCGCCCATGAACAACTGCAACACCAGGGAGGGAATTGCAGATGCGTTGCCGGCCTTACCATCAGGTGGACTGTGTGCTCATTTGTCACCCTATCCTATAAAAAAAAACCACGAGCTGTATGGGTTCTATTAACGAACAAATTATAATATCTATAATATATACTAAAATATAACCAGTAACCAGGTATTTCATATGTGAATTTTACCTGCGGCACCGCTAGGATCAGTGCAGCCACAAAGTTGCTGTACCTTCTGCTGAGGAGTTGGTAACCAAATCGCAGTCTAATATTAATTTTATGTTTTCTTTGTCTTTTGTTTCTGTTTATGCAGTAGTTATTGTGTTGTACCTACAAATAAATATTATTTCTTTCCTACTTTCAATTACGAAAGCGAGAAAATACATCGAATCACGATAATTCGGTATAAATATGCTGTCGAAAATAGATACTTTTAAATTCATTCGTTCATTTTTTTATTTTAAATATCATTCACTTCATGTTAACCGTTTAAGTACATGTTTCTCCGACGACTACAATAAGTGAAGATGGATTTTGGATAAATTTTTGGCCGTTTGATTATTATGGACATGAAATTATAGAGACAACGGAGACACGAGGAGACAATACCTTAGCGGTTCAAAATAAAAAAATATATTTATTAAAAAATATTATCATACTATTAAGTATTATTACTAAATTATTACTAGCCATTAATATGAAAGTATTTTTGCTACAAGTTGATAAGTATGCTCTACTACTGCATTTGTCCTGAAGTTCACGTAGGCCAAAGACATTTAAGTAGTAGTAGTAGTAATCTATAATTTAAATCTCTTTGATGTGTGCCTACGAGTATAATAGATCGGGACAGCCAACAATACCATAATTCTCATCATAAATTATTTTCCCATAATTTAGAGAAATGTTAAGTAAAAATATTATAGATCTGTGTTTGTAAATATATATTTGTATAATAAATATAATTAATACATAATATACCTACTCAAAGTTAGTTTTCGATTGTAAATATTACTTTAATAATAAAATAATTTGTCATATATTGTATGCCTAAAGCGCAAAGCGCGTAGGTATGTTCTACTAGCACCTAAAAATCAAGATTCCAACGTTTTGTCGCATAAAATCGTATCTAACAATCATATTGCACATATAAATGATATAAAAATCACATTGTCAAAAAGATAAATGATTGTTGAACTTATTTTTTTAAATCGATTAATTGTTATTTTTACATAAAAAAGTGGTTTATGGTGTAGATGTATCAAGTCCGCATGTAGTGGTAAACACGTTAACTTTTGAAAATATCAATTGTTTAACTCAATCTATTTTTTAATCTCTTCATCTATCATGTGGGAAGCCATGGAATGTAAATGACATTTTAATTTTCTTTTCTTTTGTTATAATTATATTTTTCCGCTTAGAAATCCTAAAATTTTCGGTGTTTTTAGCAGGCTTGTAATAATATATTTTACTATATAGACTGCCTCACTCACACACTTCGGCCTCAGCCGCCGTCATGAGTGGATACTGTATCGTTTGCTGGCAGCAGTTCAAAAAGATCGCTGTACAAATACAAAATATTCGAAAAACCAAATTTGATACATACTTGAGTACTCGTATTATAATAATCACAGATTTTTATTACAAAATTTTAAACGCACGGAATAAATAATAGTACTACGTACTAAAAATAAGTAGGATGTATATTTAAGTATATTTATACTTAAATACGTCTTGGACTTTTGGAGTGACTTGAATGATGATATGATGATCATATGAGCATTATGAGTCGTGTACTTTTGGATTTTCAAGACTTTTTGTTTTAATTGAAGTTTGACATAAACTTATT